AACTCTAGAAAACATTTATTCTTCTGAATTCTAGAAAACATTTATTCTTCTGAACTCTAGAAAACATTTATTCTTCAGAATTCTAGAAAACATTTATTCTTCTGAACTCTAGAAAACATTTATTCTTCTGAATTCTAGAAAACATTTATTCTTCTGAACTCTAGAAAACAATTATTTATTAAAAACTCTTGAAAACATTCATTCTCTCTCAACTCTTGAAAACATTTATTCTCTCAACTCTAAAAGACATCTATTCTTCTGAGTTCTCTCCTACTGAGTTCAAGTTTATCTTCTAATTCTCTTGTTTCCGTGAGATAATCCAGTTTCCATCTAAAATACAAGAATACAAGAATTCTGATTAACTGTGTTGTCCCCAAGGTTATAATGCAAGGAAAGTTATTTCAGAGGTGTACGCATCTTTTGTACTGCAGTGTACTGTCTCTGGGCGGTCATGTAAACACAAGGCGGATGTCGAAGTCTGACATGGGATCCATCTTTCACATAAAAAATTAATGAAACATTCTGGTCATAGGAAACTATTGTAAAATTATCAAAAGTTAACGCTTTTAACCTCCTCGAATACTAAACGAACACTTGTTTACAAATTCCGTCCAAAGAGAGCTTCTTTCAATATATACGCAGAGTATAAGCAACTGCAATTAGCTTTCCTTGCATTATAACCTTGGCTGTGACGACACATGTTATTATGCAGTTTTCCTCCTTCACAAGGAAAAAAAAGAAAAAATGGAAATGAAAGTATTTTCATTGTTCCTTGTGGAGGAAACCATTTTGCAGGGACAAAAGAAATTTAGTTTTTGCCACAAACTATAATTTTCTTATTCGTATATCTTGATAACCTGAGGATGCAAACCCTTAATATTTCAAACTTAGATTATCAAATCTAGCAGAGTTTATAGTCTGAAATATCTGTGACATCGATTTGCTAATATATTATAAAAATTAGAAAATCAGCTTGTGACAATGACTGAAATCCTTTAATAGGGAAGTAGAATAATTTAACTTTTCTATTTTAAGGATACAGGTGTTGAATACCTTATATATTCCTGGTAAGAGAGCAATCCTTCATAACCTGTAAAAATAAATAAATTGCATAAGTTACCCACAAACCTAACTAACGACTGAAAACTATTAAAATATGACGATCCGAGGGTTTAATTTGCTTTTTCCCTGGTAAATAGTTTTTAAAGAAAAGGCTAACTTTTTGACTTTTGAAGAGACAAAACAAATCAAGTCTTTGCCACTCACAACAAATTTCCATCCCATAATTATTTGCATCCTCATAGTGTAAACCTGTAATATTTCAAACTTGAGATTATTTTATTAAAAAAATTCATAGATTGAAATATCATAGGTCTACTTACATTAGGTTGCAACGATATAGGGATAATAAAATCAAAGTTTGTCACAAAAAGTCTATTTCTTTAACTCTAAACAGGCTGAATGAAAAGTAATTCAAAGGATTTTTTGTTACAGGGCGGAAAAAAGTCCGGTCTGTGAACAAAAAAAATCTAAAATAGCCCATAACTTTTTGAAAAGCTCTTGAAAAATGCATGTAGAAACATGTGTCACACTTTGATATTTGTTTAAAACAAAACAAAAATATTTTTTTCATTTTTTTACCCTTTTTCGGCATTTTTTTCACCCTCCCTCGCACCCTGCAAACTATTAAAGTTATTGGTCTAATTTTTTTTTTCTTCGAGCAAGTCATAAAAGGTTTGGCTATAAGTTTTCATTTCAACCCTATACCTATTCTCTAAAGCCTTTTTCTAGGGGGGGCGCCAAACGCCCCCCCCCCGGCTATACATATATTCAGACCCCCAGCCTTAATAATAGGGTTAAGAAAAAATGGCATACATTCGACTTTGAAGTCTTATCCATTGTAGTGTGGGTAAACCTGCTTTTAGTATAATTATAAATGTCTTAAATAAATAAATAAATAAATAAATGAATAAATATTTTGGAATAAAAATGAGTCTCTGGTGTACCCTATATGCCGAAATTATTTATTCTCTATGACCAAATATTTCTTCAGGAAAAGCACTCTAAAATCGATGCTAAAGCAATTTAACCATAAATTTGACGCCTACAGTTCTTAAATGTCGACAACACTGTTCAAATAAATAAAAAAATATTTCTTCGGTAAAAGCTCTCGAAAATCAAGGCTAAAGCAATTTAACCCATTTCTAAAAATTTGACGCCAAAAGGGAAACTTATAAACTGAAAAATATGTTGGACTTCGGAACTTTAATTTTAATTATAAAAGTCAAATTTATTATGCCAATAAAATCATTTCAAAGTTTGATAAATACCGATTTCCAATAAAAATTTTAAGTTAATTTAAGATTTAATTAATAACTGATTCATTCTAAATTGCTTCATGATAATTTGTATTAACTTCTGCTTCTTCTTACCTAAATATTTCTCTACACAGCATTCAACTCTGTTAGATCGCTTATCTGAATAAATCAAGCAATGAAATACTTAAAGGCATAGATTAATAAAAATACATATAGAACACTAGATGTCGTCTTTCCACGATTTATGGGGTTTTTCGTTCACAATAACCCTGAGGCAGAGGCCCTAAGGAGCTATGCCCCGAATGCTCTGTGTCTTGTCATTCTACGCGGCATGTGCGTAACTCCGTTGGGCTTCTGCCTCAGGGTTATTGTGAACGAAAAACCCCTAAATCTTAAAAAGACGACATCTAGTATAACATCTGCTATTGTTAATTAATCTATGCTTAAAGGTACTGTAAAGTAAAAGTGTTCCTATCTCGAGAAATTGATATAAAACTGTGTCAAAATTAACCAAAACAGATATATGCAAGATTTTTGTTAGATTTGATTCGACACTAGAATTTATATGGACTGAATAGAAATTTTAACAAAAGAACAATAATAACAATAATTCCACTGTTTTTTGGTTACTACTGTAAACAATACATACATTTGTTTTACATTATTATATTGGTGATAACCAAGTCTTGGTGTAATGTGTATTGTACTCTGGGGTGTCCTATAGATCCACTTTACAATCGATTGTAAAGAGCCAAAAATATCTTATTATGATAAATGAAATTTTTTAAATATTTCATAAATTTCAGATTGTATAATTGATAATTTGTTAACATGAACTTTTTCTACATAATTGAATGAATATATGTTAAGTTTCACTTCTAAGTATATTTTTTGTGTTTTTTTACCAATGCTTCTTTTTATCCATCTAGCCTCTTCTAATTGCTGGAATATTCTATCTCTTCGTTCTCTAAAGTAATATTTACAGAAATATTATAAATATCCAAACTGTTTCAACCCTGGCAGAAACAATTAGAGGGAATTAAGAATTTAATTGCATACAACTTGATCTTCATCAATGATAACAAAAATACATTTTACAAGGATTTTAATGATTTGAATAAGTATACGTTTTTCAAGGTGAACTTTTATTGAAGGACAACCCATGATTCTCATCGTTTGACTGATCATCGAAAGGACAGAGATGTCAGTGTATTTATCTCTTAAATGCTGTGTAAAAAGCCGTAAAAATGTATTGTACGCCAGCGTACTGCGTGAACTCAGCACGGATGACGTCACATTTATTCCTAGAAAATCTAGAATATTCTATAACCAATGCGGTTTCTAAAAATTTGAATTTGAATATTCATACTCTGCTACTTCTATTAATATCCCTTTAACATAAAACAGCTTGCAAACAAAGGATTCATCAATTACAACTTACAAGCGTTTATTTGTATAATTCAGGAAAAGTCTATCATTCTTGAAATTGAGCAGTTAAAACCCTTTTTTATGTTGGTTAATTGGTTGATGACATACACCAGACCAGAGAAACAATAACAAATAATTGCAAAATATTCAAGTCTTCGTGAGAAAACAATGAAATTTATCAAAGAAAAATAATTATTTTGATTTTCTTAATTTATTTCAAAAATGACATTGAAAAAGTAAGTTTGATGACGTGTTAATATACCTGACTTGAAATTCCTCCAAATTATCGGAGAAATTTGATTCCTTTAATGTGCTTTCCACCTTGGCCAACCGACACACTAATCCTTAATTTGGTCAAGGTTAACATTAAACATGTCAATTATATTGAGGAAAATTAGAAATATAACTTTCGAATAAATGCAAAGAAAGCACGTAACACAATGTTACATCTTCTAAATTTTGATTGTAGATTTTTGATAGTATACGCATGAATTTTTTTCTGCAATTTCTTAAATGAGCAAAGGAATTGAGTCTTTGCAACAAACTAAAACTTTCCAATCCCTATATCTATCGAACCTGATGGTGTAAATCTTATAGTTTTCAAACTTAGATTACAAGCTCTAGCAGAATTAATAGTTTGAAATATCAAAGGTCCACGACATTGAATGGCAAAGATATAGATGTTAGAAAATCAGAGTTTGTGGCAAAGACTCAATTCCTTTCCCAAGGAATCCAAATCTGTGACAATAAAGAAGAAAAAAATATTTTAGCAACATGCTGCATACGTGGGCCCTTAATAATGAATTTTTTATTTTATATCTCAAATTAGGATTATTTCCAATTTTAAAACATTAGTATTATTAAAATTTAAATATTTTTCTCTAAAATTTAATAGATTTTAGTTAAAAAACTAAAAATATAAAGTACATTTCTATACCTAGTATAAGACAGGATACAGACCCTAGTTCCTGAATATGAACACTAGGAAACAAAAAATTTCATTTATAACAGTTTTCTATATCTTCATTTGCTCGCGCTTTTAATTTCATAATAATTATTATTATTATTAAGCCAAATCAAGAACAACAATCAATCCTAAACAACTAGTAAAAGTTTAGTTACATCGGTAATGGCTGGCTTAGATTCAAAAAACATTTTTTCTTCATGTATTTTATCTCTATCCCTCGACACTACTCAAATAGTAAGTCTTTCGGATTTATCAAATTGTAAAAAAAAACAATCATTGTTTATTGTTACTTAACCAATTATTTGTTAATTCACAATGAGAGCAAAATCTAACGTGTACATTCAAGAAGAAAAAGAAAAAAAATTTGCTTGATTTATAAGTTATTTAGTTCTGTGTGCATAGACAAATGTATGCAAAAAGCACATTTCAGTTTCTCACATGGTCAGACTTTAAAAGTGCTAGCACTAAAGCTGACCATGTGAGAAGCTGACCATGTGCTTTATCATATTTCTCTATACGCATAAAGATATATATATATAACCTTCAAATTATTTTTCTTGTATGTGCGCGTAAGATTTAGTTCTCAACGTGAATTAATCAATATTTGACCAGGGAAAAACATAAAATGATAAGATTTTTTGTACAATTTGACAAATCCAAAAAGCCTAATATTTGAGTGGTGTCGATCTATCTTTAACCTGCGCTAATGCTTTACAGAAACATTAGATATAGAAAAAAACAGTAACAATCGATTCACAATTTACTCATTATTCCACCTTTATCTAATTAGTTTCATTAATCGCGAGTAAAAGACTTTGCTTGAATGAGATTTGCCTAAATTGTTTGATTTCTTTTGTATCTGCGTAGAGTTGAAACTGCGTAGATAGCTGGGATCCTAATCTTTCATTTTCTATAGTCTTCAGCTCAACATTCTTCTGGAATATAATTAATCAATTAATCAATTTCTTAATTAATTGATTAATTAATCAATTAATTCATTAATAAATTAATCAATTAATACATTAATTCATTAATCAATTAATAAATCAATCAATTAATCAATAAATTAATCAAATAATAAATTAATCAGTCAGTCATTTAATCAAAAAATCAATCAATAAATCAACCCCTTGAATTTTTTATTTTTAAAATCTCATTCTTTTGAAAAATACATTCTCCTCGGATTTTCTCATTCATAAATTATTGATTTTAAAATGCAAGAAAAATGCAGAATTTGATATTATCTATTTATATGTTTGCATGCAAGAGTACAATTAAACCCTAAATAAGCCATACAAGAATTCATCAAATGTTGTATTCTTCACTTTCTGGTAATGGAATGTTGCAGAAATTTAGTTTTTTAATTAAATGATTATATGAAGCTCATGGCTATTTGCGAAGAACAGTATAAAACCCTTTGAAAAATTGTCAAGACGACATTTAATAAATGTCGTTTAGGGTTTAACTGTATATAAATTCTTAATTCAGCCTAATAAAAAAATTTAACATTTTTTTATTTGAATTAAATTATGTTGAAATTACAGAGGAAAAGGACAACAAAAGAAAAATAAAAATGTCCCATTTGCACGACTTTTTTTAAATCTTTTAAAGTCTATTTTTAGTTCCAGTTCATAAATAGGTTGATTTATATTAAAAAATATTCTTCTACCTTTTCATTTTCTAAATCCTCGATTCTCTTCCTCATTCTAGATTTTAAATTGGAACCTCTAATGTCTGAAAACCCTGTAGATCCGTTTAAGATCCGTGTTTGTCTATCAGGTATCATCTGTTTGTCTGTTTCTGAATAAGGAGGAGGTTCCTTATACTCTAGCATGCGTTTAAATCTTCCAGAAAAAGTGAATTTAAGAAAAAACATTTTTTATAATTAGAATGTAAATAAAATAAGAAATTCTTTAGTGAAATCAAATTAAAGTTCATAAATTCTTTTTCCTAAATTCTTGAAATATTTTCATTTCTCCAGGTACATAATTTCCTCCTCTTGCTTTCCCATCATCATGCGTATCTTCTCTTCTTCCTCCTTCTCTTTCTGTGTCACTGTCTTTCTTTGGATGGAGGTCAGCCTGTTTCTTTTCTACCTGGAGTATCTCTCCCGCACTCCATCCTGATTTTGTCTCTAGATCAATATCTTGATAAACTTGATCATCAAGAATACTTCTTTCATTTTCGGTAAACTTTGATAATTTGTTTTCTGTTTGTTTGATCGGTAAATTCGTCGAGTTTTCTTCTTTTCTCCATAAATTCGAGAAATGTTCCCCTCGTCTGTCCAATGAATAGGAGTTTACTTGTTTATCTAACAAATAGGACAAGTTTACTTGTTTATCTAACAAATAGGAAGAGTTTACTTGTTTATCTAACAAATAGGACGAGTTTACTTGTTTGTCTAACAAATAGGACGAGTTTACTTGTTTATCTAACAAATAGGCCGAGTTTACTTGTTTATCTAACAAATAGGACGAGTTTACTTGTTTGTCTAACAAATAGGACGTGTTTACTTGTTTATCTAACAAATAGGACGAGTTTACTTGTTTGTCTAACAAATAGGACGTGTTTACTTGTTTATCTAACAAACAGGACGAGTTTACTTGTTTATCTAACAAATAGAAAGAGTTTATGTTTATCTAACAAATAGGACGAGTTTACTTGTTTATCTAACAAATAGGACGTGTTTGCTTGTTTATCTAACAAATAGGACGAGTTTACTTGTTTGTCTAACAAATAGAAAGAGTTTACTTGTTTATCTAACAAATAGGCCGAGTTTACTTGTTTATCTAACAAATAGGACGAGTTTACTTGTTTATCTAATGGAGAAGGCAAGTTTTGTATTTGTTTTCCTGATGAATTGGATGATTTGGAGTTTTCTTCTTGTTGGTGTTGTAAATTGAACATGTTCTCTTTATGGTTTTCCTTCAAATTTGAAAGCTTGCACAAGTTTTCTTTTTGCTTTCCGAGTAAAAGTTTTTCATCCCTCTTAACACCAGAATGGGCCGAGTTTTCTAATTGAGATTGTTCTATGTTTTCTTTTGTTTTTTTAACTGGCTCTTGAACCTGGGGATGGTTTGTTTGAAAGTCTCGATGGCTGCTTGGATGCATTTCTGTTTGTCTTGCTTCAAAAATTCTGGATTCTGATATGGGAAAAAAGGAATTTTTTAAAATCCATTGTTTGGGCCTAGATACAAATTATCAATTTAAAAATATGTCCAAAATTTTACCTTAAACGAGATTTGTAAATTACCCCCTTAAATAGATTAACTTTTCATATCAATTAATATTTTTTTGGCTTTTAGATTTTTATCGTGTCTTCTCGATTTATTGAATCTAAATTTTTCAGAATATCTCAAGAAAAAAAAAATCTTTAATCTTTAATCTAGAAAATGTAACTTGTCAATTTCTAGATATTCGACCCAAATTATCAATCAAGGTAGGCCGGTCAAATCAATCAAGGTAGGCCGGTCAAATCACTCAAAGTAGGCCGGTCTGGTCAAATTATAACTAAAGGGGCAGTTCACAATTAGATCTAAATAATACTTTTTTTTACCGATTCTCAGGACAGCTACAGTAGTCGGTGTTCTTATCAAAAGAATAAAAACAACTTTTCTACTTAAGTACTTAAGTTTTGATTTCTAAACAAGTTTTTTCACGTTACAGGTTTAAACGAAACAAAAAGAGGCTGTTATTTGACAGCTGTTATTTGACAGCTGTTAGTTGACAGCTTCCCTTTGTTTCCATATTTATGTGTATCCAATCCATGCTGTTTTGAAGCTTCGTAGAAATCAAAAATCTAAATCGAAAGTCGTCTTCTTAGTATTGATAAGTACAGTGCGAAATGCTAATCAATTTACAATTAATCAGACGACTTTACAATCTATTTTTTTAAATATGATTGATGAAATTTATTATCAGAAAAAATAGCCCTATTCCTCCTATTTCCAAAATGTGATCTGCCTTTTTCGAACATTTAAAATTGCCAGAGATAAATGTAAAATCGTCTGATTAACTGTCAATTAATTCCGGGTCTTTCTGTGGTAAAAAAAATCTAAATTTTTCTGCATTTGAAACAAAGATAAAATGAACATAAACAATTCATTTCCTTCCTGTTGCTGGCTTTCCCATATCCCAGTAAACTGAATCCACACTTTTTCTTAAATATTTCATATCAATAAAAAAAAAATTAAATTCGTATTATATATTATTATATTATAATAAAGACCGAGTATTTGTTAAAAAAAGAGAGGTCTCTAAACTATCTACCGCCGGTTCAAATCATAAATTACTGCTTCACTCTTCAATTAACTACCTAAATTCTCATCATTATTTAAATTTGAATGCATGAAGCAAGATTTTAACAAACGTCATCGGCTTTGCAACTACATGGTGCCCCGCAAAACGTGACAGTAGCAAGACGAAACAAAAGTCATCTTTGCATGATCTTTGAAATAATTTGCAGTATTTATTCATAAACCTAATTTTAGATTTAAAATTCCAAAGTTAATAATTACGAAATATTTCTATTCTTGGCATTTCTGAAATGCGGTCTGCCTTTTTTGTGCTTTCAAAATCGACAGTTTTGGATTTATTTGACAAAATTGAAATATGAACGAAATTCGAAATATATCCGGTAGGCAGACCACTTTTTGGAAATGCCAGGACTAGTAGAATTATGTGGTTATTGTTTCAATAATTATATATGTTAAAGTAAGTTGACAACTGCATGAATGTCATAAAAAATATTGAAAGTTTAAAGACGACTTTCAAGGTGTCTTGCTACTGTCATGTTTCCTGGAACACCCTGTAGTTAAATTCGGTTCGAGGTGAATAATAATTGAATTAACAAATTGAATTATTAAATTTTTTATTTTTTTAGTTTTGACCCTGGGCAGCTCAGGCAAAGAATTCTATATGTATGCGGAGAACGCTTCTATGAAATCTTGTTTACAGAAACATCAAATTGAAATTAAAATTAGTCCCAATTTATAATTATTTATTTTTATTAATAATTTCACCTGAATTCTTCCAAGTCAGGTAACCTAAAATTAAATATTTTTTTAGATTTTAGAACATGGGCTCAAATTTTCCAAATGATTTAATCAATAGATTGATCATATTTTAATTCAGGGTTACACATATGGATTCATCAAATATTTCTAAGTTGGTAGATTGAATGATCTATTCAATCCACAATTTAGTTTAAAGGATCGTTAACCTACATTGATCGGCGTTTATATCAATACAATGAAGACGAATTTTATATTTAAGTTTTGATTTCTAACCAGCTCTTTTCAAATTACAAGTTTATACAGTGTACAGTGTACATTGAGAAGCTGTAAATTGACCGCTTCTCTTTATTATGTGCAATGCATCATTTGCTGTTTAAAAGCTTGGTAAATATCAAAATAGAAATCAAAATTTATCTTCATTGTATTAATATATACAACGAAGATATACATTTTTGAAATTATAAACATGAATGTCAATAATAACGCTCAAAGATACCCAGGAGTAACAACATTTTTTCATTAAAAGTTGAATCAGTTGAAAAAATAGGGTTATATCTTATAACTTATAACTTATAACTTTTAACTTATGACTTATGACTTATGACTTATGACTTATGACTTATGACTTATGACTTATGACTTATAACTTATAACTTATAACTTATAAGGTGTATTAGAAGGATTTCATTTTGACCTTGGATTCTGGTCCTGAGGAAAGTATGGGATCTCGTATTGGTTCTCTCTAAATAAACAATATAAAATTGTTTTATCATTTAATGTTATTTAGACGCTTAAAGTATCTTAAAAAACATTCAAGAGTTAGTAACGAAAAAAGAACAACATTCAGAATCTTGTATATTTTAAAACAATTAAGAACACTGAAGACCAAAGGTAGAAAAATACTTGCAACAAACTATAAAACTTTGATATTTGAAACTTTCACAGTTTGATCCACAAAAATTCTGAGTTTGAAATAGAGTATTAGATTTGTTATTATTTTCCTGTAATGTGATATAAATACGTAAAATGATTTGTTGTCAAAAATAAAACATGCGCTGAAGCCTGAAAGACTATTTATTAAAAATACTTAATACTTATCATTATTTACTCCCTACCTAGTGTTAAAACAATCTGAAGGTATCTCGTAAATTGCTTCGGCTAATTCTCCATATATTTTCTATTTAAAAAAAAGATTTTTAAAACTGAATTTTCAACAATTTGCGTAAAATTATCCATGTTTGTCAAACCGGGTTGAAAAAAATTCAAGTCAAGTTTCATCAAAGAAAGTGCTATATAATTCAAGACACTTTTTTATATTTAAATTGTATAAAAAAGAAAATAAGAAAAAAGCTCAATTTAATGTGTAAAATAGCATCTGATTCAAAAGTGAAGAAAAACTGAATTGCTGAATATTGATTGAAACCTCCCTTTTACAATTTCAGGATAGATTTTGAGCAAAAATATGAAATGTAATGATTAAATCACATAAGAGCATTTTTAAAAAAGGTTTAACCAACCTTTTTTTAATTAAATGTATAATTTTTACTAAAAATTCATATTGTTATTAAATTATCAATTTGTACCTCTTTATATTTTTGTTGATCAGATTTGAGTGATTCTTTTCTTGGTGGGTATACAGGTGGTCGGCCTAGATCACCAGAATATCCTAGATTAATAAATATATAATATCCTAGAATATCCTAGATTAATAAATATTAATAATAGAATCTCTAAAAATAAAATTTACGAATTTATAACCCAATTTACAAAATAATTATAACCATGAAATGTTCATAATATAATGATAATGGCTTTCACAACCATAAATCACATATTAATTCAAAAAAAAATTTATGTTAATTCTTTCTATATATATATACTTTGCTTGTGTGTCTGGGTGTCTGTTTGTTTGTTCGGTATCCAATAAACGTCTGAACCGATCGGGGCCAAAATTTAGTCTGGGAAGGTTTATGAATGCCCAACATTTTTGATTTTTGTAAAACCTTGAAAATGCGCAAACAAATATTGGTAGATCCGCGAACTTTTTTTTTGTTATTGTTTTATACTTGACTGTACAGAAGATGCTAACTGCGAGAGCCAAACTTAAATAGAAGATGTGCGCGAAAAAAAGCTTAGTAAATATATATATTTAGAAGATCTTTCAATTTTTTGTTTTAAATTTTAGTTATCGAAGAATTATTTTCAAAAATCAGGATTTGTATACATTTAGGCCTCATTGTCCCACTATTTTGATCCACCTCCCTCCCTGAAATTAATCTTCTTGCAGTGTTTGACAGTAGTTAAGAAACTTATTAACATATACTTCACACCACGTATCAATCAGTTTCAACATTAGAGAAAATTTTAGAAGAAAATCTTACTTTTTGCCTTGCTTTCACTTTCTAGTTTAGCCGACCTATCGTCATCAGCCTTTACTGAACACTCACGCACACTTGCATTCCTTCTAAACACGATTTTAATATTTAGATCAGTTTTTTCATTTTGATAATTAAAGTGACTCTATGTACATTTTGCCAATCAAACCATTAAAAAATCCATGTTTTTCTCGTTGAAATTAGACTATTTAAAATCGTGGTTTCTCTATAAAAATTGCATGGGGGGGGGGAAGGCATTTGAAATACATCAAAAGTCCCTTCAATCTCTTGGTGATAAAAAGTAAGAAATAATTGAGAAGTAGAGAGAAATAATATCAATTAAATCAATGATTAACCTAATTTTCTCTAATTTCTTTTTTCATTTTCTTTAATTGAAAACATTTAAGTGTAACCTTCTAGTTTTCGTGGAAGCCTCTCTTCGTTGCATTATATAGCTGTCTCTGTGGTAAACCCTAAAACAATTTACTATTTGAAATTGCTTCAAAAAGCTACATAAGGCAATTGCAATTGCTTTAAATGGAAATAACACATTTAGCCTACATGTCACGGGCAGCCGTAGTACATTTGAATTTCCGAGCCGGGTCAACCTGTCCGATCCCAGTTTGTACTGTACCTAGCTCTGTGGACAGGACTAGCCGGTGCAACAAGGTTGACGCGGTCAAACTTTATGCTTCATATAGGTTGAATTTACTTTTACTAAAGGGGCAGAGGAATTTTAGGAACTGCTGAGTTGACTTCAAGTGAGCCTACATTTTCATTTGTGGGTTCTCTGTAAAGCGGATTTATGCTGCAGTGATTATGAAGGAAATTGTGAGAATTTTGCACTTTCCAAGATAGAAAATGAGGGTTCACTTAAAATTAGGTCTGATCAGGCCCCTTTTAAAATAGAGAATATTTTATTTTAAATTTTACTTACCCTCCCGCCCATAAATAGCAACCAGTCTGCAGTACATAGCTAGGAGATTGGGTAGACAGTACAATATCATCAGGACAAGTTCTGTGTACTGCAGCTTTACTTATATCACTTGTACACTCAGTTATGTACGAGTCACAAATACTGTTTGCGTTTAAATCACTTTCTTCTCTTTTCCCAGTAAACTTTTGTGAAATTAGTTCTGTTGTATCCCTTCCTTCCTTCCTACTGATAGTCAGAGCTTAACAATAAATTTTATTCTTAAATTCTTTCACTTAAAAATATGAAAGTTTTAGATTATAAGTTTTTATTTTTTATGTGTGCTCAGATTTGCCTTGAATCCGCAGGTAGCTTTAAGGAGTGGAAACGGACTAAATTATCAGTAGATCCTAATTAAAGAAATTAAGAAATAATTGAGATAATCAAGATAATATCAAGAGTTACCAAAATAATGATGATAATAATGTAATGATAACGATAATAATATTAACCTCTGGTGAATAAGGCTGATAATCTAGAATTTTCGTTGAAAATCTTCCTATTCTTTAAGCTTCCAGTTCTAAAATATAAATCAATTGTTTTTGAAAATTATTTGATTATTAGATAAAATACAATTGATTCACGTATTTACAAACATAAAATAAATTGATAAAATACATATGTATCTCTAGCTATATGTTAAAGAAAAAAATGTACAAAAATGGGCCCCCATAAATACATGTGTTGCCAAGTAAATAATACGGTTTATATCATTCATCTATTCACAGTAACATCCGGAAGAAATAAAAGTATCTAATGCTAATAAATTCCTTCTTAATTGTCGTTCATAAAAAAATGGCGTTCTTAAAACATTGTTAAATTAAGTATTTAAAGATATCCTTTTTTTACCTGACCATGTACTCTGGTAATCTAGTTAACTTTTCTGTACTTTTCTTCAGCCAAGAAGCTGTACTTCGGTCCCTAGAATATACAAGCTGTACTTCGGTCCCTATAATATACAAGCTGTACTTCGGTCCCTAGAATATACAAGCTGTACTTCGGTCCCTAGAATATACAAGCTGTACTTCGGTCCCTAGAATATACAAGCTGTACTCTGGTCAATAGAATTTACATGCTGTACTCTGGTCCCTAGAATATACCAGCTGTACTTCGGTCCCTAGAATATACAAGCAGTACTTCGGTCCCTAGAATATACAAGCTGTACTTTGGTCCTTAGAATATACAAGCTGTACTCTGGTCCCTAGAATACACAAGCTGTACTTCGGTCCTTAGAATATACAAGCTGTACTCTGGTCCCTAGAATACACAAGCTGTACTCTGGTCACTAGAATATACAAGCTGTACTTCGGTCCCTAGAATATACAAGCTGTACTTCGGTCCCTATAATATACAAGCTGTACTCTGGTCACTAGAATATACAAGCTATACTCTGGTCCCTAGAATACATAAGTTGTACTTCGGTCCCTAGAATATACAAGCTGTACTCTGGTTACTAGAATATACAAGCTGTACTGTGGTCAATAGAATTTACATGCTGTACGCTGGTCCCTAGAATATACAAGCTGTACTTCGGTCCCTAGAATATACAAGCTGTACTTCGGTCCCTATAATATACAAGCTGTACTCTGGTCACTAGAATATACAAGCTATACTCTGGTCCCTAGAATACATAAGTTGTACTTCGGTCCCTAGAATATACAAGCTGTACTCTGGTTACTAGAATATACAAGCTGTACTGTGGTCAATAGAATTTACATGCTGTACGCTGGTCCCTAGAATATACAAGCTGTACTTCGGTCCCTAGAATATACAATCTGTACTCTGGTCCCTAGAATATACAAGCTGTACTCTGGTCCCTAGAATATACTAGCTGTACTGTAGTCCCCAGAATTTACAATCTGTACTGTGGTCCCCAGAATACACAATTTGCAAACTGGTCCCTGGAAATAAGGAAGAGAAAGAAGAAAGAGTTTTTTCTCATAAATAATTTGTAAAATCTTTAAAAATTACCTAAGCCTGTTGTATTCCTCAATTGAGAGTTGTGATCTCTCAATATTCGCACTGTCTGCAGTTTTACAATTCAATTTTTAAATTATTTTCCCTATAGATTAAAGAAATAAATTGGCCATTGTTCAGAACAGGAGTTTAAAAAGTACAAATGAATCTTTTTTTTAAAATCAATAATTGTATGCATTCACCCATAATGTTGTGAATGGCACCTGTTAAGACAAAACAACGAGAATTTTTAAGATTTAAAAAGTGACATTTTTCCTGTTTAAATTGGAGAAATGTCTTTTTTTATAGCTTTCTCATTGTTAAAGTTATTACTGTACCAATTGTGTAGATAAATTATTATACATTGTAACTGCGCAGGGTTACCCACAAAATATAACACTTTAAAGACGATTGTACTGCACACTAGGTTGCCATTGTACTGCACACTAGGTTGCAATTCCAGTAGCAACTGATCCAATCAGGGTTCAATCGTGTGTTTGATGTCTATTCTGAACCAATAGAAATTGCATGTCAGTATCATCTATCTTTCTATCTATATCATTATCTAATTAGAGATGAATCCTTGTATCGTGACAGTAAACAGTAAATGGGAATATTTACTTCTACCGAAACTATAGTGCTGAATTTTTAAAGTTGTTGTTTTAACATATATGTTTCCCTGCACCAGTAAACTTGTTTATTTCGTTTCTAAATCATAAATATGCTATCAAAAGATTAAATGAAAAACATAAAAAACAAAATAAAATAAAAAATGAAATGATAACCAGAAAACTCTGAAAATGAAAGACGACTTATAGGCTCAAGTAATGAATTTAAATAGTCCTATGAGCATGGGACACAACAATTCACTTAACCAAACATCAAATTTATGTTCTCCACCTAATTGCAAAAAATAATTTCTTTTCTTTACATTTTTTTTGTCGAAATACATCATTATTAATTCTATTTCGGAGTTTTCTTTTATCCCTGTAAATAATTTGTCACACGTACAAATGACTCAAATTTCAAGATGGCGCTTAATTCTCATGTTTATTGACACCAAGTAGGGCAACAGTGCAGTGGCTGAAAACTTAACTGCAAAGAGTGTGTCTAAAATTTGTTAAAGTGATGAATTGAAACTTCTTGGTTTTCCGGAGAACTTTTAGGACACTCTAGATATCTCGGAATCTAGGACACCCTAGATATATCGCAATCTAGGACACCCTAGATATCTCGGAATCGTTTTTCAGGAATATTTGTTTAAATATTTTCCTCTTCTAGAAGATTTAACAATACACAATCTTAGTTTGTCTTCATTAGTTTGTCTGACAGGTGACAAACTTTAACTTAGACCTTAGTGACAGCTATGCAGATAAATAGAAATAGATGTACAGACAAATAGAGACAGCTGTACAGAAAAATAGAGACAGCTTTACAGACAAATAGAGACAGCTTTACAGACAAATAGAGACAGCTGTACAGACAAGTAGAGACAGCTGTGCAGACAAATAGAGACAGCTGTACAGACAAATAGAGATAGCTGTACAGACAAATAGAGACAGCTGTACAGACAATCAGAGACATCTGTACAGACAAATAAAGACAGCTGTACAGATAAATAGAGATAGCTGTACAGATAAATAGAGATAGCTGTACAGATAAATATAGATAGCTGTACAGACAAATAGATACAGCTATACAGACAAATAGAGACAGCCGTACAGACAAATAGAGATAGCTGTACAGATAAATTGAGACAGCTATACAGATGAATAGAGATAGCTGTACAGACAAATAGAGACAGCTCTACAAATAAATAGAGATAGCTGTACAGATAAATTTAGACAGCTGTACAGATAAATAGAGATAGCTGTACAGATAAATTGAGATAGCTGTACAGACAAATAGAGATAGCTGTACAGACAAAAAGAGACAGCTTTACAGATAAATTGAGATAGCTGTACAGGAAAATAGAGACAGCTGTACAGAAAAATAGAGACAGCTCTACAGATAAATTGAGATAGCTGTACAGATAAAAAGAGATAGATGTACAGATAAATTGAGATAGCTGTACAGACAAATAGAGATAGCTGTACAGACAAATAGAGACAGCTTTACAGATAAATTGAGATAGCTGTACAGACAAATAGATATACCTGTACAGACAAATAGAGATAGCTGTACAGACAAATAGAGATAGCTGTACAGACAAATAGAGATAGCTGTACAGACAAATAGAGATAGCTGTACAGACAAATAGAGATAGCTGTACAGACAAATAGAGATAGCTGTACAGACAAATAGAGATAGCTGTACAGACAAATAGAGATAGCTGTACAGACAAATAGAGATAGCTGTACAGACAAATAGAGATAGCTGTACAGACAAATAGAGATAGCTGTACAGACAAATAGAGATAGCTGTACAGACAAATAGAGATAGCTGTACAGACAAATAGAGATAGCTGTACAGACAAATAGAGACAGCTGTACAGAAAAAAAGAGACAGCTTTACAGACAAATAGAGACAGATGTACAGAAAAATAGAGACAGCTGTACAGAAAAAAAGAGACAGCTGTACAGACAAATAGAGACAGCTGTACAGAAAAAAAGAGACAGCTTTACAGACAAATAGAGACAGATGTACAGAAAAATAGAGACAGCTGTACAGAAAAAAAGAGACAGCTTTACAGACAAATAGAGACAGATGTACAGACAAATAGAGACAGCTGTACAGAAAAAAAGAGACAGCTTTACAGACAAATAGAGACAGATGTACAGAAAAATAGAGACAGCTGTACAGAAAAAAAGAGACAGCTTTACAGACAAATAGAGACAGCTGTACAGAAAAAAAGAGACAGCTTTACAGACAAATAGAGACAGCTGTGCATACAAATAGAGACAGCTGTACAGAAAAAAAGAGACAGCTATACAGACAAATAGAGACAGCTGTATAGAAAAATAGAAACAGCTGTACAGACGTAATAGAGACAGCCGTGAAGAAAAATAGAAACAGCTGTATAGACAGATAGAGACAGCTGTACAGAGTTCTAAGATAAAAAAATAGATAAAATGTTTTAGAATGAGTGCAATGTCCCAACTATCTTATTTCCTGAACAATAAAAAATATAATTCTAAATTTAGATATTTCGTCTGTAAGGTGACAAGGTCGTCTTATACAATAGCTTTCCTGCAATTTATTGAGATTTTTTATATGTTGACTTTTTTATTTAATAACCAACCTTTTCTCTGACAATTGAATGTTTTAAACGAAAAAGGTTGTAAACTGAAGGTATCTAAATACACAAAAGTATTTATCTTAATATTGTATTAACAGACGAAACTGCAAAATCCAAGGTGACAGTGCAAATCAAAACGATTCATTAAAATGTCATTTATGTAAAGAACAAAATTTCTACTCGAAGAACATTAAAAAATTCCTTCATTTCCTGTTTTCATGTTTTAGCAAAATTTAGCAAAATATTTATCTGATACTGTATGGAGAATTATTTTTTATAAAAAATGAAATAGTTACTGACAAACAGCTAAATAATATTTGCAATATTTTGAAAATTGAATGATCTAGGGCAAAAAAAACTAGGGTTTTTATTTGGGGGGGGGGAACTTGCAAACTTTCACTTAAAAGTTACTTTTTTGGATGATAATGTATAAAGTACGCGCAGTTTTAACAGATTTTCAGGGTTTTAACATTTTTAAATTCAATATCTCAATACGAATTTGATATATTCTAAAGGAAAGAAATTGGCTTGCAATAGTGAATTTGTATTTTCAAGAACCTCATGCACTGAATTAGTTTGAAAGTAAGAAAGAAAGAAAAAACTATTCTTAAAGATTTTTATCACAGAAACCTGTAAGACGCGTGCTGAAAGGATCTGAACATTTTTATCAAGTTACATCTACGTTGGTAACCACTCAACTTAACCCTATTCCTGCTGGGGGGGGGGTCAATTTGACCCCCCCCCTGTAGTTTTTTTTACATAACTCAAAAAGTATTGGTCTGAGGCTGTTGAAATTTTCTGACTTTTCTTACATACCCAAAGCCCTCCCTTTAGGTCTAAAACCGGGCTTTAATACTAACTGCCTGAGTCCTCAGGCACACTGCCTGAATGACTGCTTTTGCCTGTAACAAACTAAATCTTTGTTTTGACCCACTTTCACTTGTCAGATTTTGATCAAATTTAGCTTTTTGGAAAGTCTTTGACATAAGGAAACGGATTGCACAAGTTTTGCGAGAAAAAAAATTGCAAATTTTTTGCAAACAACCTGTCAAAGGAAATTTTTGCATTTTTAGTTTTTCTTCATTAAAGATCAGGTTATTTAAAATTTTGCAAAAATTTTTGCATATTTGAAAGGGCATGGTCAAGGGCTTTGCAAAAATGTATAATTTTTCATTTTTTGGACAATTTTTTTTGCAAACATTTTTACTATATAACTGGATTTTGCGATAAAAAATTCAATTTTTGCAAATTTGCAAATTTTTTTGCAGATTCTAAAAGTAGAGCACAAGAGCTTTCTAATGATGTATCATTTGTCATATTTGGACATAAAACATGGGATTTAGAGGGGGGGGTTTAATTGCCCCCCCCCCCCAGCATATCCTGGTTTTCAAGTACCCCAGCAGGGATAGGGTTAATACATTTCAAACTATAACAAATCTTGTGGATTTGAAACAAATATGAAAACATCTTAGCGCTTACATTTAAAGAGGGACTGTTAAGGTAAAATGAAAGGGAAAAGGGGGTATAGGCTGATACCCAAACATTTTAGGAGTTAATCGCGACCAATATTAGTTCTATCTGATGTCCCTGTCTCGAGAAAGTTATATAAAAGTTATACCAAAACTCTATATAAGATGTGTATAGAAATAAAAGTTTTATACAGATCATATTCAGCAAATACGCAACGAATCTGAAAATTAAGATAACCCAGAGGAGCCTATAGATATTATGCAGATACGCTCCTATTATAATTTGAATATAATACTTATTCATTATTAACAGATATAATTGATAGTATAATTGTTACATCTGTATCATGTGACCAGAATATACACCAATGTCAGTGCAGTATCTGGTCACGTGGCTCTGTTTGTATCATGTGACCACCATTTCTCTGTACTCACAAGGACATCAAATAGAATTTAACGTTAACAATCTCTTTAAATTTGTTGCAAAACACTTTATTAAAAGGTGTATACTGAACCAAGGAAGAAATTTCTGGATTAAATTGAATAATATTTTGATGACCTGGAAACCACCAGACCAGACGGTTTATAAAAATAGAATCTTGAAACCAAAAAAGATGAAAAACAAGGGAAATATGAATAAGTTGAGGAAAAATGAATGTTTAGGGATGAAGGATGGAAGGATGGGTCCAAGGATAAGAAAAAAAGAATGAATTCAAGAAAGAATTGTAAACAAATATTGAATATGTTCCTAAACTACAACTTTTTGAATCACTAAAGGTTTTTCTTCTTTTCTCCGCCATTTCTATGTTTTACTTCTAATATCTTAAAGTTCTGAAAAGAGGATTCTATCTACGGTGGTAGGCGATTATATCAATATAATGAAAACGACTTTAGATTTCAATTTTAATTTTGTATAAAGCTTTTAAACAGCATGGATACACAAAAACATGGAAACAAAAAGAAGCTAGTAATTTAAAAAGCTTGTCTTAAATCACTTGTGTTTATTAAATTGCCATAATCGCCTACCATCGTTAAAAATGTTTATCTATCAATGTAATCTAGCCATCTTTACTATTTATCTATCTATATTTAAGTTCTGTAACTTATTCTAATTAAATAAAGGTATATATGTACGTTTATCAATTTATGCATCTATGTTTTGAGTGGTATAATACGTTTAACCAAGGAGAATTGAATACAAGGAGGGGGCGATTGGGTTTCCGTACACTTTGCTGTGACGTTTTTGGACTGCTGAAGAACTAGTTTTTGCGTAACAACAATAATAAAGATTGTAAACAATAACACAAATGATAAACAGACATCTGGTGCATCTCTGGCGTTAGATGAAGATTCACCGTATACTAACTCATGTTTGTTTACATTAGATCGACTGCCTTTGTTATTGTTGTTAAGCAAAAACTAGTTCTTCAGCAGTCCAAAAACGTCACAGCAAAGTGTACGGAAACCCAATCGCCCCCTCCTTCTATTCAATTCTCCTTGCGTTTAACTAAACTGGTCGTTTTCTTTCTTTGGAAAGTGACACGTTGACGTAGTTTTAGTGACACTTTTCAGATATGGGCATTGTTTTTGTCGTTAAAGAACTAAATTTTAAAAACGAACACAATGTTTCCGTTCAGAAAAATTAACGAACGATGAACGAACCTAAATTAAAATTGAAAAAAACGAACGCACCGACCTCAATGTTTTAGGAGCATACGTTCTATTCACATAAACGTGTATCTAAGGAGTAACGAGGAAGATATTTAAAAAACGAAATAAATTTCGTAATTTTCTTTTCTCTGCTTCATAAAGTTACTTGCAACTATAATGGACAGACCGTAATATAATATTATCAATTTTTAGATAATAATAATAATTTCTTCATCGTTTTTGTTTGTTGAAAGGTGAACCCATTGTGACTCGAGGATAAAAGCTTGATAAATGACATTACACCAACACTCAACAGTCTCTTAATGGGGATCATAAATTAGATTTATAAATTAATAATTTCTTAAGTAATTAGATTATTTTTCCCAATAGTCGGACTACATGGTATACAAACTGGAGTACCTGACGTTAGCCCAGGTTTACATTATTATTCATAGTCATAATAGTCATAGTTACTCCCACCATTTAATAGCGCTTGGTATTAAATCATGTTTTTGAGCGCCCGACGTTACCCGTGGAATTTTAAAAATATCAAACAAGTTTAAGCCAATGTGTCAACCTCGGGGAACCCGGGAACTCCCTCAAAAAGTTTAACCAACTGTTTAACCGGCCAGCTATAGCGAACATGTATAAATATCATTTTATTGCATGTATGTATAGTTCATATAAAAGATTATCAGAAATTATATAATCGCTTTTAAGTGCTATCTTTTCTATGTTGCTGATTACGTGTATCTATCTTTTTATCAAAATAATATATATCTATCTATCTATGTATATGTGTTTGTTCACTGCTCACGACTCACGAGAAAGCATTTGACCGACTCAGCTAGTGAAGTTCAACTGAACATTCCAATCTACTTCACTATACACTATACAGCATGCAGGGACTATTCAGGATATAGGAGGATCATAAGTCATACAAATATTTAATCTTTAAATAGTTATGCAGTGTTTTCTTGTATATCCTAAAACATAGCATAACTATTATAATCTATGTATATAAATTTGTCTTGTCTGTCTGTTTGTCTGTTTGGGTGTCTGTTTGTTTGTTTGTATCCAATAAACGTTAAAACGGCTGAACCGATCGGGCCCAAATTATTTGTGAAACATCACGTGACCACAGGGAAGGTTTATGAATCATAAAAATTTTAAAAAATGTGATTTAAAGGTTTTTAATTTTGTAAAAAAATTTAATTCTTGAAAATCCGCGAATTTTTTTTTAAATCCCCCAAATTTTTTTCTTCTTTGTTTTAAAATGTAAACAAACAAAACTTGTTCACAATTTAAATAAAAGATGGGCGCGAAGCGCCTTAAAAGCCTTGTATTAAATATTTGTTCTGATAAGCTTTATACATTACTCCTATAATATCTTTTGAAGGATAGAGGTAGCGCCAGATCATTCTAAATACTCATCTGCGAATCCAGAGGCTTGGTGAGCATTTCCAGGACTCATGGAGTCCCTGCACCCCTTCCGTATATGCACACACCTATTAAAACCCCGGAAAAGGTCGTATATAGGGGGGGGGGGGGGTTTGGGGTTAATTCCCCCCCCCCCCCTTAGAATCTTGGGATATAAATATATCCCAGTTTAGAAACTTGATCTTTATTCTCCCATTACCATTACCATCAATTCATCCAATTAGAGATGAATCCCTAAATCAGTACTAAATAAACGGACATATTTTAATATCTCATTTAAAATCCGTCAAAAAAAACTTACTATGTAGATAGATCTACATCTATAGATCTAGGTAATGTCCTAAATACATAACCGGAAACAATGGATTAGAAAGTCGATATTATAGCAATACTAAAGTGTATTTGATGTTACAAAGCAAATAGTTTTACTAGAATCTCATTAAATCACTGATTTAGTGAAATGGTTCTGTTTACACTGCACAATCTGTTTCTCATGCTCATTGGACGGTTTTTTAAGTTATAAGTTGATACTAAAAGTCGTCTTCCTATTTCAGATTGTAGTCCAACAAAAAGGTAGCAAATACGAAAATCTACATTTAATGGGAGAAGAGTGGGTTCTAATGTTCAATTGTGATAAATTTTCTCCGAAATAAAATTTAAAATTTCAAATCTGATGTTTTTGACATTATCAACTTTTACGATGCTCAATGTTCCGCCAAAATAACACAACTTTAAAGTAGACTAAAAGCAATATAAATATCTGTTAAGGTACAGGAATATGGAATAGGAAAACTAGAAGTATCTTGAAAAAAAATCTTTATTGCGTAGGAGGATGGATAGAAAGATTTAAGGATAGATAGATAGATAGATGAGAGGATAAAGTATACTTTACCTCTGGTTTTCCTTCATTTCCTTCAGTTACGCAGAGTCCAAGGTAATAGATACAGGGGTACCCTCAAAGATATAGATCCTAAAGACGACTGTACGGAATTTCAGAAGAATTACATTAATGCAATTGTTTCTATCTATTTCAACTAGAATATCTGTCCCATGTACCAAACCCTCTGTATCAAAAAAAAATTTATATGACTATTTAAATCACTATTACTATTACTATTTCTATTATATATTGAAATAAGAAAAGTTTAGTTTATGCAGCTAAGACTCAATTCATTTACTTTATTTGACGAGACTTCTTCTTATGTTGTAAATGATATAGCATTTAAATTTGACAATTGTACATTAATACAATTCTATTCATATTTCTTATTTTATTTTTTATTTCATGTTTATAATTTTCATAGATGATGATTTTTCCTATTCTTATGCCCCTTCTCCTCAGTTCGCATTTACAGGTATAGAAACCAAATTTTATTAATTGGAGAAAGGTCGTTGAACTACATAACGCCACGATTGAACTACTTCTTAAGAGCTTATTGTCTCAAATTCTACTCACCAATTTAAAGTTGAAAATTTGAACATTCCTAATTTGACAAAATCCCGACAGTTCCAACCAATCAGAGTGCCGCAAATGTTGGGTTTTAGTAAATCCCCTACTCCATGAGAGTCTCTCAGACCCGTATCAATCAGGTACAACTCAATCTTTTTCGTTGGTCTACAAGGCATAAGAGCTAATCAGTTTAACAACACTTCACTGTCAATGTCAACACGGACACGATCTCGTAAACTATCAATGTCAACACGGAAACGCGATCTTGTTAACTAACAATGTCAACTTGGACACGATCTCGTAAACTATCAATTTCAACAAGGACACAATCTCATTAACTATCAATGTCAAAACGGACACGATCTCGTAAACTATCAATGTCAACATTAACACGATCTCGTAAATTATCAATGTCGACATGGACACGATCTCGTGAACTATCAATGTCAACACAGACACGATCTTGAAAACTATCAATGTCAACATGGACATGATCTCATAAACTATAAATTTCAACACGGACACAATCTCGTAAACTATCAATGTCAACACGGACACACGATCTCATAAACTCTTTTGCTAAACGAGAAACAATTTATACTTCTCTCGTTGTAACCAAAGTGCAACTAAATGTATTTAGGGTTCTCTGTTACAAGTTAAAGTTAATTGACGCACTTATACAAGTTTTACATCGATATATATTTATGAATGTCTTGTTTTATTATATAGATTTAATAGCTGAAAGGCCCGGCGTTGCCCGTGGAAAAAAATTTTGAAAAAATTTCGATTTTTTTTAGCCTATAACACCCCCGACCACCCATGAGTGTCCACGAAAAATTTCAGCTCAATCGATCCAGCCGTTTGGCCGGCTATCGACAACATATATCTATGAAAATGTCTTGTTTTATTATTTGGATTATATATTCTTTTTTGCAGGTTAAAAACAAATTAAACCACCAAAGTAGAAGGAAGGTAAATATCAATTTTTATCATTGTATTAATAAAAGATTAGTAATGACTGAAGGAAGACAAGTTTTTTTTACATTTCATTTACCAAGAAAATTTTCTGGGCAATTTATAGAGTGACATGTTAGATTCACAACGGTGCCATTTAGACCTTTGTTTGGTTAAGATTAAATGAAATTTCAAATTTAAAACTATTGAAAATAAAAAAACGAAGAAAATTCTTAGGCTATACCATTGTAAAAAGAGAAAATTCCTATATCAAAGATCACTTGGAATTAAGTCTTCAGAGCTTAAAACTTTCGAATGGTGGATATCGAGATCAATGCTTGATCCTCTCTTTTTGCTAATCTTAAGACTAATTTTGTCTTTAGATTAATTTCTAGAGATTAGAAATACGCTCTTTAACTTTTGAAAAACCGGTTTTTAATTTTATCGCATTTGTAGTGTTATTGCAATTGGACTATAATGATCGATTATGAAATTACGCTCAGGTTGAAAAGATTGTAAAAGAATTTGGAAATTAAATTTACATTCAAGGAACTGATTACTCGCCACAATATCTATAGCGTCTATATATTTGCAGCCTGGTGGCGCCAAAGACCTTTTGCTATTTGAAACTATGAAATACTACAGTGATAGCCAGAAAACAAGGGAATAGAAGGACGGCATTATAGCAATACATAAATGTATTGGATTGTGTTACAAAGCAAATAGTTTTACCAGACACTTAAGAAATCCCTTATTTTGTGAAATGGGTCTGTTTACACTGCACAATTTCATTGTCATTGAACTTTTCAAAGCTAAAACTTGATTCTCAAAGTCGTCTTTATATACTATTCCAGAGATTTCTGGATATCACAGTGAAAGCTTTTTTTTCAAAAATGGGTAATAGAAATTAAAACTGTAAAGTTTGTGGAAAGTAATCAAATTGTTCACAAGATGTATATGCATGATCAAGAATGTAAGGCAAGGAAAGTCAATTGCGGTTGTGTATACTCTGAGTACATATTGAAACCAGTTCTCTCTGGGCGGAATTTGTAAACAATAATAGATGCATTAGTGTTCGTTTAGTATCCGAGGAGGTTAAAAGCATCAAATTTTGATAATTTTGACAATTCACATAATAATTTCCTATGACCAGAATATTTCATTGATTTTTTATGTGAAAGATGGATCCCATGTCAGGCTTCGACATCCGTCTTGTGTTTACATCAGCGCCCAGAGACAGTACACTGCAGTACAAAAGATGTGTACACTTCTGAAATAACTTTCCTTGCCTTACATCCTTGTGCATGATTAAATTCACTGTTTGTTTCAGTTAACACACAGGGTAAATCTGGAAAAGGGTAAATATAAATACTTTTTTTAATAAGTTTTTCTGATGTAAAATATCTGAAACAAATTTATAGAATAATTATTTTTAGAAGATGGAATTAGAGATTTACGAAGACGTGAAGAAAAAATCCAAAATCTGATAAAATATTCCAAACCTATGTACACCGCCAGTGACACCCTTGACCCACTTTGGAAACAAAGTTCCCCTAGGTTTAATTGGTTAAACAAACCGTTGAAAAGTAGGTCTGGACATCGGGGATTAAAGAATCAACTTCAAAAAGGCAATAAAGGTCAATTGATGAATTTCAAAGAAAACCTGATGAATAATGAACTTAAAGATACCAAGCTATCGAAACAACTACAAGACCCTGGACATTTTAAAGAAAACGAATTTTCAATTACAAAAGAGTTGGAAGGGTATAACGTCCAAGAATACAAATATATAGGTATGTTGAAAAAAAGAAAATTTTGGTTCAATATTTTTTTTTGAAGTTCAGAAAGATTAATTACAATTATTGTTGTCTTCCTTTTTATGATCCCTGTCCCACACTGTGATCTAGCCAAGGATGTAATGCAAGATAAGTTATTTCAGAAGTGTACATATCTTTTGTACGCAGTGTACTGTCTCTGGGCGGTAATGTAAACACAAGACGTATGTCAAAGCCTGACATGGGATCCATCTTTCACATAAAAAAAATCAAAAAAATATTCATCAAATAGTCATAGGAAACTATTATGTGAATTATCAAAATTATCAAAATTTAATGCTTTTAACCTCCTCGGATATTAAACGAACACTGATGCATCTATTCGTGTTTACTAATTCCGCCCAGAGAGAACTGGTTTCAATGTGTACGCAGAGTATACACGACCGCAATTAACTTTCCTTGCATTACACCCTTGGATCTAGCTAGGCTACATTTATTGCTAGAAACGTGCTGGGTCGACTCTACACTAAGTAGTCCAGACTGGACGGTACTGCATGTTCAGTACTTCTTGTACCGGCTTGGATCATGCAACTTTTATGGCTTCCTTATAATAAACCCATCACAGTTGAGCTGCTTTAAACCCTACATCCTTGCAAACTCACTTCTGCCATTTTCCTGACCACAAACATCCCAGAAACCTGACCTTTGACCTCAGAAGACTGGAGTTTAAACATTTTTTAAATCCAAGTTGATGTACAAATTATTTACAGGATAGTTTATTTTTATTTTTAACTTTGTCATTTTCCTTGCAAAAATGTAATTTATTAAGCAAGAGAAGAGTATGTTGTTTATCCTTCGAATAGTTTGTGATTATTTTTTACTTATTTCCTGGTTTACTGTAGCGTATTAAGTTCAAGTCTGTACCTAACAAAAAAGTCAAAAATTTTGAGCAAAAATGACTGGTTTTATTGAATACTGAGAGAATGTGAGAGCTTACTCTCAGGTCTAAATCTCTTAAGATTAACATCTAACGTCCTTAGATAGACACGACTAAGTGAGTTTTGTCGAAGTACTGGATTTCAGAGTACTCAACTCGAAATAAAAGGAATTGAGTATTTTCCACAAACTCTGATTTATAATCCCAATATCTTTGCAAAAGCCGTAGACCTTAGATTTTTCAATAGTCTAGAAACAATGTTCCCCAAAGTTTTCAATTGGTGGAATGAAAATGAAAAGAATAAATTAAATAAGTTAAATTAATTTCTTTAATAGTATTTTTTAATAAAAGAGTTTCTTGAAGGTGTTCTTGAATATGAACCTGCTTTGAATGATGCGGTCCTAGATGTTCTTGAAGATGAACCTGCTTTAAATGATGCAGAATTAGATGTTCCAGAAGGTGAACCTGCTTTTAATGATGCGGAACTAGATGTTCCAAAAGGTGAACCTGCTTTGAATGATGCAGAACTTTATGTTCCAGAATATAAACCTGGTTTGAATGATGCGGAACTAGATATTCCAGAAGGTGAACCTGCTTTGAATGATGCAGAACTTTATGTGCCAGAATATAAATCTGGTTTTAATGATGCGGAACTAGATGTTCCAGAAGGTGAACCTGCTTTTAATGATGCGGAACTAGATGTTCCAAAAGGTGAACCTGCTTTGAATGATGCAGAACTTTATGTGCCAGAATATAAACCTGGTTTGAATGATGCGGAACTAGATGTTCTTGAAGATGAACCTGCTTTGAATTATGCAGAACTAGATATTCTAGAAGATAAACCTGCTTTGAATGATGAGGAACTAGATGTTCTAGATGAAATTGGGCATGAAGGCAAAAATGAAGAAGTTGAAGTTTCTGAATATGGTGAAGACTATTTTTATAATAGTAATCTTCCATTCTTTCAAGATGATCCTACACCCCAGGTAAAACAGATTCTTTTGAAGGTTTTAACAACTTTCAAGGGAGTGAGGACATAAAACAAGGGACCCACAAGTTAAAGAGTTAGTTTACCATTTAACAACGTTCATTTTTTTATTTTTCTCTGCACCCTAGTCAGTTAACTAGTAAACCAAAAATTGAAAATCATCAATTCCAAGATAAAAAACAAGGACTCTTTAATACTTTTACAAGACATAGGTTGAAAAGGGTACCATAGTGAATCGGCCAAGCCATTTAAAATAACACCAACAGACTGTATGTTTGTCCAAATATATATATTTTAAAGAGAAACACCAGAAAATTCAAAACTTCATGTTTTGTCTGAATGTTTATATATTCACATAAACTTTTTTATTTATTTTTTATATAGAGAAGTCAATTATACCCTAGATAAGTGTTATTAGAAACCTCTTAACAGTAATGGCTTAAATTAGGTCGGAGTAAATAGGGATAATTGAAGATTTCATTCAAAATCAGAATTAAAGTATTTTTTTCAGCAATTGCAGTCCTTTCTCATCTAACATTATTTTTCTGGCTGCCTTTTTTTAATGTCGGCTAAAATCAATTTAACTAGGGTGTCTCAAAGTAACTAATTTGTGGATTTCAACATGGGTGTTTTTCCAATTCTCTATGATCCCTTCAGTCAGAGGTTTACAACGCGTTTAAGAAAGATGTAGAAGTTGAAGTTATCCATTATTTGATTTAGAATTCTTGTAATCACCAAATTTTGCCATTTTTCGAAGATTTTTTACAAAGTTCTTTTTTGGACTCAAGAACCTGGTAGATAGAGTCCATCATTTTTTAATTTGCTTTTTGAGTCCCCCTAATATCCTCTTATTTATACTTAATCATCTTTGAGAACACGGATAATAATTCTTTTTATAACATATATTTTAAACATATATGTGATCCCATGAGTTAATTGTGACATTTTTGATTTCTCTATCATTTCAGGTAAACTTTGTCATAAATGACTTGAAAAAGATTTTGACTTGACTTAAAAGTACTGCTAAGTTAAAATGAAAGGGGTAATGGCTGAAGCCTACAAATTTTAGGAGTTGAATGTGACCAACAGTCCCTTTAAAAAGTTAAATTTCCACCAAAGTCTCAAAATAAACCATAACCCTTGTACATAAATAGTTTAAATCTATTAGTTTATTATTCAGGTTATCAGAGACATGAGTTCCCCCAACCTCCCCCTGTACACTGCTGAGCAACCTCAGCCTCTCATTGAACAAAACAAATTTACTGTCTTTCCTTTTCTGGAGCTTCATCCAGAGAACTTCCATAAAACATGGCGGTCCAACTCTAGAGTTCCTATTCCGTTTGAAAAACACGTGCCTGGAGCTGACAAAGGGCATGAATTTCCGGTTTGGTTTACAAGAAAGCGAAGATTTGTTTAGTAATCATGGCTTAACCAAGCGCTACATATGTAATTCTTAATATTTTTTAACACCAACCAAAAATAAAGCCCAGAAGATTTTCATGACTAAAATTGCATGTCGCAAATATTGTATTTTTAAAGGACATAAAATTGTGTAAACGTACATAAAATAATAAGTTGAAGACTTGTTTGCCATCTGTTCATTCCAATTTTAATATTACATCGCATTTCTATCGGCCAAAACCGGACTACCTCAAAAATATTACTGATATGGAGAAATGCAGCCCATGCAAATACATACAGTACAGTACATATAGTACAGTACAGTACATACTTTCTGCATCAAGCACGATGACATCTTAAAGCAGATATACGTATGAGAAAGTCCGGTTTTAGCCTGTGGAAATACAGTGTAGAATGAATATCAAGGAATGATAAATGTGATCGTGAAAAGACGAGCGATTTTTGAAAAATCGCAATTTGGTCGAGAGGACGAAATCGTTTCTTGAATTTAAAATACAGTATGATGATTTTCTTTTAATAATGATAAAAATGACAAACATGGTTCATTTCTATGTTTTTGAGATTCCCAGGACATAACATAATAGTTCCTTGATTAACATAAAGCGTAATTATGTATGTATTCTATATATATGTGACATGAAGCGTAATTATGTATGTATTCTATATATATGTGACATGAAGCGTAATTATGTATGTAATCTATATATATGTGACATGAAGCGTAATTATGTATGTATTCTGTATATCTGTGACTTGAATAAAGTTTTGAAAATGTTTATTCTCTATGAACATAAAAACAAAGAATAGTCTACGTGCATCGGGTATATATTTTATACTCAATACATTTCTAATCAAATACATATTCTTGTACAATTACATAGATACAATATACATACTTATACAATATTTATATACTGATTCATCTGAAATGTTAATTTTGGTACACTGAGATTTATAAAATTGTTAAATTGGATGACGCCTTCAAGCAATCTTTTGAGTATTTGATGTTTTTATCTATAAAACAAATATTAAATATTACAACCAAAACTACTTATTAAGTGAAATTGGTCCGTCTACACTCCACTGTCATAAGTTTTTTAATAATTCTAAAGAAACTTATTTTTATTTTTAATTCGAGGTAAATTAATTAGCCCTGAAATATGAACGCAATTGATATATTAATATTAAACTTATTGATCCGCGGCATTTGATCTTAAATATGTAATACGACATTATAAAAACTCTTGCTATGTATTCATATATCTGGGATTCACTTTAAAGAATAAGAAATCATAATATAAGATCGATAATAAGGTTAAATATTGGGTCAATATTTTGTGTAGACTGTAGACGTGGTTCTATTGGTTTATTGATATTTATTTTTTAAAGATAATATTATATAATATATTCAATTTATATCTCTAACTAACAGGCAAACACACATTTCTGCGAACATATAGATTAAGCTACCTTATCAGTATGCTCTCCTGCTAAAATAAAGCTAAAATTGTGATTTTGCTACACATCTCATTTGTATGAAAAATACCATATATTATGAAACAAAATTTGTTAGATGTCATTAAGTATAGTTTTATAATAGTCTAAAGCAGAATTTTAGGCCAGTAACGTGAGCAAGGCCCGAAAAAAACTTGGTTTTTGCGTATAAATCACAATGCCTACTCTTAAATTACAAAGCTCTATGATATTTGTTAATTACCCACTAAGCTTACATCTTTAAACAATCTCTTAAGCTATCTATATAGATATATTTTGATACATATATATATATATATATATATATGATTAAGCTACCTTATCAGTATATAAATATAATCCTACCGCAAGTGTAAGATTTACTCCTGGGAAAAAGCGTCAGTGTGCGTCAGTTCATTATAACCCTCTTATGCGTCAGTGTATTAAAACCAATGTGACTATGGTACCATGTACGCAATACGCACACTTAATATATTTGAAATAAGTTCATTTTACAAATATACATTATAGGGATCCATATACTTTTGCAGCCTGATGATGTAAATATTTTGATATTTCAAACTTCGATTATTTGATCTAACATAACTCGTAGTTCGAAACACTATTAGTTCTACGAATTTGGGTTGCAAAGATATAGGGATCAGAAAATCAGAGTTTTGGCGAAGACTCAAATTCTATAAAATGAATTTTGTTTAAATGCAGAATACCGTCATGGTTTCAAAACAGAGTTCTCTTTAAACATCTCTAGGTTTATGGATATACATTGCTGTAAAAACTCCCCCATTTTTTGGTTTAGAAAACAGGATAAAGAATTCATCAAATGTCGTATTCTCCACTTTCTGATAATGGAATGTTGCAAATATTTAGTTTTTTAATGAAATGATTATATGGAACTCTTTAAAACTGTTCCCGCTTATTTATGGCTATTTATTTATTTTCGCAAATACTGAAATTTACGTAATATAGTATAAAACTCCTTGAAAAATTGTCAAGACGACATTTGATAAATTCTTTCGATGTATTCGTTATTAAGGGTTTCACTGTATTTTACGTTATCCTGTTTTCTAATCCAAAAAATGGGGGAGTTTTTACAGCCAAAAAAACCAAAAAAAACTAGGTCCAGAGAGCTGAATGATTTCAACTGTTTGATCTCTAAATATTTTAAGATTTTAAATTATATAAATTAATTCTTCGAAGAGTAAAGTTAAGCTCCAACTGATTTTCACAAGATAAAACTTGAATTCTATAAAAGCGACACAAAATACAACGTACGCCTAAACATATTAAAAACCGTTATAATTTTAGTCAGAAATTAACAGTTCCCAAAAAAAAATTGCATACTTGAATGTTAAAGAACAAAATCAAAAATATTCTAGCCAAACCACTCAAGTCTACTGAAAGAGATTGAAATTGTAATTTTGAGAAACCTTCAATTAAAAAAACAAGACGGCCACAGCCACAGCTTTGAATTTTGGCTTGAAAAGTGTTTAATACTCATAATTTCTTCCATAGTTTCTGAAGAGAACCCACAATTGAAATTAATCAATTTTCAAAGTGCAGATGATGGACGACTCCTGCATTCTTGATAAAAGAAATATTTTGTGAATTGAACATGCCGCACTTTCAATGAAGCGTAACTTGAAATTACGTCTTTAGTCTCTCTAAGTTTAAGATAGAGAACAGTAACAAATATTACAACAGTAGATCATACAGTGAATCCCAGATATATGAATACATATACCGTCATAAGTTTTTTTGATAATTCTAAAGAAACTTCTTTTTATTTTTAATTCAAGGTAAATTAATTAGCCCTGAAATATGAATGCAATTGATGTATTAATTTTAAACTCATTTTTCCGCGGCATTTGATCTTAAATATGTAATACGACATTTTAAAAAACTCTTGCTATGTATTCATATATCTGGGATTCACTGTTGTTCAATCGATCAAGTCAAAAAGAAAAAATCCACATTTGTATGTACAAAAAATATTGAAGAGAAAACTGAAAAGAAATTTGAAAGAAAAATGATATTATGAAATATAAAAATCAAAATCATCTAATTTGACAATTAAACAATAGTTCCAAGATTTCATTCAACATAATCTTGCATGATTAACAAATTCTTCACATTACATATATTATAGTATTGAAGCCATATGCTAGGATTATTCTTAATATCTTGACCTTATGCAATAACGTATACAAATTATTTTATTGAACCCAAATTTCCAAAGGATTTTAAAAACAGACGAGTCAACAATAATTACAAAATAATTTGACCCAATTTTTAACCTTATCTTAGATCTTATGATATCTTATTTTATATATTTACTGTACACTGGAAACCATAAAGCTGTGGAATAGGAGGACGACTGTTAGGAACCAGTTATGATTTTTAATTGTCCAAAGGGTCCTAGTGTATTCAATTTTACATTTTTATGGGTCCCAGTGTATCCAATTTTACATTTTTATGTGTTCCAGTGTATCCAAATTAACATTTTTATGGGTCCCAGTGTATCCAATTTAACATTTTTATTGGTCCCTGTGTATCCAAATTAACATTTTTATGGGTCCCAGTGTATCCAATTAACATTTTTATGGGTCCCAGTGTATCCAAATTAACATTTTTATGGGTCCCAGTGTATCCAATTTAACATTTTTATTGGTCCCAGTGCAACCAAATTAGCATTTTTAAGGGTCCCAGTGTATCCAATTTAACATTTTTATTGGTCCCAGTGTATCCAAATTTACATTTTCATGGGTCCCAGTGTATCCATATTTACATTTTCATTAGTCCCAGTGTATCCAAATTAACATTTTTAAGGGTCCCAGTGTATCCAAATTAGCATTGTTATGGGTCCCAGTGTATCCAAATTAACATTTTTATGGGTCCCAGTACGTGTATCCAAATTAGCATTGTTATGGGGTTATGGGTCCCAGTGTATCCAAATTAACATTTTTATGGGTCCCAGTACGTGTATCCAAATTAGCATTGTTATGGGTCCCAGTGTATCCAAATTATCATTGTTATGGGTCCCAGTGTATCCAATTTATCTTTTTTATGGGTCCCAGTGTGTCCAAATTAACATCCAGGAAAGAGAAAAATTTTTGTCATGTATTTTAATTTCACAATTTCTACATTTACAAACCATGTCATAGAAGTACACATTTTTCAATTGAATTTTTACCTTTAAGGGAGTGTTCGCAAAAACAGAAGGGGGTATAGGCTGATGTCGGATCGAGGATCGGTACTAATTTTACTGCATCTCATGTTGTGTCAAAGGAGAAAATTGTTAAAAACGTCTTATACGTATAAGCAACTTTGTGAATTTGCATAGACACTACGCTCTGAGGTATAAGACTTTTGACCTTTTTCTCCGTAAAGACGCAAAAGTTAAAAGTAATCATTATTAGAGTTTAATTCTATATCAGCCTATACCTCCTTTCATTCTTCGCGAACACTCCCTTTAATATTGATCTAATCTTTGTAGGAAGAAGAACCGAATTGTTCACGTTAACACAAATCAACACTAAGAAATTGTGTTAACCTCCATCGAGGTCTTGCAAACTAGAATTTCCCTAGTAGGGGCTTATTCATTTGGAGTACTGTCCTAATTCTTACTATTCATCAATTCCGAACTCAGATGTCCCAAAAAATGGAAATTCAGTGACAACATTTGATGTTACTGTCATTTACTCGTAAACACAATCATACTAGCAACACAATTAAAATAATTAAATAATTACATTTATTTTTTTCTAAAAATTAATCTTCTTTCTTTGGTTTTCAAAATGTGATTTTGTAAGAAAAATCCTAAATTATTTTTACCATCAAAAGGTTTTTTGGAAATCATTAAAGACGAAAAATGTTTGTTAAATAAATGTAAATGTTACATCTTAAAATTAGTAAAGAAAAGACGTATATTGTATACTGTATATTTGATACAGTGTACTGTATACAACACTCTCTGTAGAACTGAAAAGAAGTTCCACATTTTTAATGCAATGACCCTGCCTTTGCAAAATTTCTCTTTTTGTGCTTTTAAAAAGACATTTTCTTTATTTTGACCCGGAAATGAATACAATCCAGTTCCAAACGTGTTCTCTATTTGGCAAAATCAAAACTTTTATAGCCCTTAATCAGTTGAACTTGAAACCTGGAGTAGGTTGAACAAGAAGTTATATTTGTGTGTCAGCTGTTGTGTTGTTGTATGTAGCATTGAACTCTCCCAGGCGACGTTGCTCAGTTCACAGATGAAGTCTCCAGCAGCATATGGCGGGGTAGGTAGGGAGGAAATAGGTTGTAATATTTCAGATAGAAATAATACGCTTATGCAGATATTGTTAATGTACTTTTCTCAGGTTATTTCGTAATCTAAAATTCATTAACATGGAGAACATTAGATACAAATGGTATAATTGCAGTGCTAATCAATAAAAAGCGCGGAAAAAAATAACTGTCGTCTTTGTTGATGAAAATATATCATAGAATTGGTTTTGTATTTGTATCAGTTATTAAAGAAATTGAGTCTTTGCCACAATACCGTTATCTTTGCAACCTGTAATATCTTTGGACCTTAAATATTTCAAACTATGAATTATAAAATCTAAGTTAATTAGAAATATAAAACATATCTAAATATTTCAAACTATGAATTATAAAATATAAATTAATTAGAAATATAAAACATATCTAAATATTTCAAACTATGAATTATAAAATATAAATTAATTAGAAATATAAAACATATCTAAATATTTCAAACTATGAATTAGAAAATATAAGTTAATGAGAAATATAAAACATATCTAAATATTTCAAACTATGAATTAGAAAATATTAGTTAATTAGAAATATAAAACATATCTAAAGTTTTCAGAAGAAAAATGGTGTATTGATGTGAACTATTTGTTTGCAAAGGAAACCAGTGACAATGATTTTAGTGATATTTGTTTGTATCCTAGGGGTTCAAGGGGATAGACCCCTATTCAGGAGACCATCCTTTAGGGATATTCAAGACGACCCTTCAGTAACAGTGAGAAGTAGAAGATTAACTCCAATTATTTCTAGGCGAATAGATATTACAGAAGTTCAGGATGAGGCGCCATTAGATGAAATGGCGCTAAGTAATGAATTGGCGCCAAGAAAGGATGTGGCGCCAAGAAAGGATGTGGCGCCTATCACTAAGTTTATTGAATATTCTGATCAACTTGAAGGAAAGTCAAAATGTGATTTATCTATTTTTCGAAATAATTCTCAATAATTAAATATTTGAGTAGTTTCTTCAATTAGATATTTGTCACATTTTGTCAATTGATTAGATACAGATTCAACATTACAAAAACCAGGTGATTAACATTAAACTATTGCATAAAAGATTATTTTTCATTCACTGTTTATTATTTCATACTTCCTAATTTCTATTATCAATTTGCATTATTCTCAAATCCCCCCCAACCCCCCCCCCTCTTCAAACCATAACTAAGTAATCTGCAGAGATATAGAGATATTATAAGGAAAACGAAAAAGTGCTTTATTAAAAAACGCTTTGTATAACTCAGTGTATAGTGAACAAGCTCCAAGGTATATACGAATGAACTCGAAACTTAAGAACTGTTAAAAACCTGGTTTCGTAAATGTAGAAAAGCAATCTGAAAATATAAAAAATCTAATTATAAAATATTAGATCCAACACAAACAGCAACTTTAGTCTTTTCGTCGCCAATTTCTTAAATTAAAATCTGCACGAATGTGGAGTGGAGACCCCAAAAAAAACTCGGTGGTTTCGTTCAACGAAACTCTCTTACATTTCTGGGTGTAGTGGCCAGGTGCTCAGAGCTGAAAACTTTAGAATGGGATATCCTTAATCCCGATCGATTAATTAATCTGGAGATTAATAACATGAGGAGAACAAGCCATAATTAATCTGGAGATTAAGAAAAAGAGTGGATCAAGCATTAATCCTGATATCCACCATTCAAAAGTTCCCAGCTCAGGTGCCCTTGCTAACTATATGGAAACGAGAAATCGTGATCTGAGAACAACCATATTTCATGATTCCACCAGGAGTCAGTTTAGAAAAATTATATACATATATCAAGAGGCGGGGTAGGGATGGGGAAGGTATGGATAGGATAAGGACATACCTTGGGATAAGGAAGGCATGTTTAGGGATAAGTAATGTTTGGATAGGAATGAGGAAGGTTAGAATACGGATGATGAAGTTTTGCTTAGGGATGAGGAAGGTTTGGATATTGATGAGGAAGGTTTGGATATGGATGAGGAAGGTTTGTATAGGGATCAGGAAGGTTTGGATATGGATGAGGAAGGCTTGCATATGTATGAGAAAGGTTTGGATAGAGATGAGGAAGGTTTGCATAGAGATGGGGAAGATTTGCATAGGGATGAGGAAGGTTAATATAGGGATCAGGAAGGTTTGGATATGGATGAGAAAGGTTTGGATAGGGATGAGGAAGGTTTGCATAGAGATGGGGAAGGTTTGGATCGGGATGAGGAAGGTTTGCATAGAGATGGGGAAGGTTTGGATAGGGATGAGGAAGGTTTGCATAGAGATGGGGAAGGTTTGGATCGGGATGAGGAAGGTTTGCATAGGGATGGGGAAGGTTTGGATAGGGATGAGGAAGGTTTTGAAAGAGATGAGGAAGGATGAAGATAGAAGAAACATTATTGACGATCAGTAGAATCAAGACATTTATATTGAATTTTATTTCTTAAATAAAAGAATACATTCAGGCCAACATTTTCATATTTTCTCAGGCTCAAGGCACTGTTTGATCTTGAACAACAGAGAATTAAGTCATCTTAGGGGGAGGGAAGGGTGATGCAATTGAACAAAATATGGTTTCCCTGTTTGTACTTTCTTCATTTAAGCTTTATTTCAGCATTTGTTTTTTGGTTTAATAAACTTAAATTTTAAAAAGAAGGTTTTTGAATCTTTATTATTGCATTACAAATCGTAGAAATTAAATACGCTCTCCAGCTATAATCAAATAAAGGGTTACCCACAAATAATAATACATAATTTTACAGCATTTCTCAAGCAAAAATTCAATTTAAAAATTAAATGTTTCAGTCGGGTTCAGTTTGCGTCTGAAATCAAACATAATTAAACCTTTTATAGGTTTCTTAATTTTTATATAATTCATATAATTTGATAGATTTTCTGTTTAAGAGGGTTTGAAGTAGCATCTTTTAAACTAGAATAAAAACATCAATTAATTCCGGGTTGAACAAAACTAATTGGTCCTAGCCTAATAAATTCTTAAACCACAATTAAACCAGAATATAAAGATTATAATTAAGAATGGTGTTTATTTAAACACTAATTTACTACTTCCGTTAACTTTATTATAGTTACGTGTATTCAATGTCTGTCTGTCAATATGTTAATGTACGAATGTTATTATTATTATTATTTACTACTTTACAGGGAAGTTAAGGGAATTTTACTGTACCAAGGGTAGTAGTAGGCAAAATTGATCAAGGAAACCCGTGTTAAAGAATAATTTATAATTTCACGAAAAAGTAGATGGTTTTACACAATTTCATTGTCTTTGGAGATGAAAATGCGCGATTCTTTCATCAAAAAATATATCGGGTGATTTAACTGTCTTAAGGAACGTTAGGAAACTTAACGTCCCTCTGTTAGGCGAATCTTAGGTTGGTAATGTTGGTCAAAAGGCGGTAAAACTATTTAAATTAGCAAAACAAAATCGATATTTTGATGAATTAAGAATAAAGTATGAATTGAAACATTTCAACATCTCGAAATGTATTTTAATCTAATTATCTGGTGGTAGGCGATTATAACAATTTAATGAAGACGGCTTATTTAAGTTTTAATTTTTTAAAAGCTTTTTTCGAATTATAAATTTACAAGTAGTTTTAAAGAAGTTTTTTAATTAACAGCTTCTCTTCTGTTTCCATGTTTTTGTGAATCCATGTTGTTTAAAAGCTAGATATAAATTAAAATTTAAATCAAATGTCGTCTTCATTATATTGATATAATCGCCACCGCCGTGCTTACAAAATGTTCTAAAATTTAACTAATAATAGAAGTAATTAATTTGAACAATAAGTAGTATTATTAAACCCAGAGAAACCCAAATCAACAGTTTTTAAAATTATAAACAGTCATATTTTATGCATTATTGATAAGACAGCGCTTTGAAGGGTACCATTGTGACTAGGGCAGTGCCATCTTTGCACATGGAGGGTCACTTTAAATTAGCGTACGGTCCCTTTATGCATATTTCCTTATTACCGATGTCTTAGAATGTTTAAAAGTACCAATATGCATTGTACTTTAAAGGAATTGAGTTTTTGCCACAAACTCTGATTTTATAATCACTATATCTTTGGAACCAAATGTTGCAGACCTTAGATATTTCAAACTATGAATTTTGTTAGATCAAATAAATTGAGTTTGAAATATCAAAGGTTTACAACATCGGGTTCTAAAGATATTGAGGTTTAAATATTTGATTTTGTTCCAAAGACTCAATTCCTTTGTTGATGGTTGTCACAAATGTTCAATATACAGGTTTACCCACAAAGAATGATATTGTAAAGACGATCTGAAACTATTTATGTGTGCACACAAAATGGAAACCTCCTCTCACCTAGCTTATTGATGTTTGCTTTTATTGTGAACGATAAAGAAATGTCAACTTGACAAGGAAAAGTTAAGAACAACTCTAACTTCTTGATCAATCCAACATATTGATCAATCCAACATATTGATAAAAACATGGAGAATTAACAATTAAATAATAAATATAGTAGACACTAGGCAGGAAGTAGGTTAAACATAGCATCATCTGCTATCCTGTAAATCTTATCAAAATTGTCATCTGTCTACCAAACTATCTATCTAACTTATTATCTGTTCACTGATTTATCTATCTATCCCAGAAGAATAAATGTTTGAAGAGTATATTAGCTCTAGATTGATCCTAGATTATCCATCTGTTCAAAACTTCAAACTTGAGTATTGGCATTGAAAATATGACATTGAAATCCAAGCTATAATGAAGGGGGGATAGATTAGGTTCCTTCATTGGATAATGTGGATGAGAAGTAAGAAAGGATATCCCTAGAAAAAGACATTAAAGGGAGTAACGACAATGTATGATAGTTAAACTGAGAATGTAGTATTGTGGAGAAATATTTTAGGGTTCTTTTGAGACCTATAAGACGTTTTTACGTTGTTTAATTGTTCCGCAAGATTTATATTTTGAATTCTTAATCTTCAAGATTCTGTTTCCAAGATTTCTGCAAAGTCTGTAAATGTCGTCTTTTCAATAGAAATTCCAGAAAATCTACGGAAAAAGTTTGTGAAGAATGAGACATTACAGACACCAATAACTGAATTATTTTCGATTATTAGAATTAATTTTTATATTCTCAACCTATTCCTAAACAACAGTTTCCTGTATAATTTTCGTAAAATCATCCATCCAAAATGAGGATTTTAAAGATTTAATTTGCGCCCTTGCTGAACAAATATGCACCGTAAAGACGTCTCAAAGGTATCAAATGAATCCTAATCAAATTCTCAATGATTCTACATTTTCAGTTCAACTAACATACATTGACGGTCACTCCTTCTAAGAAAATATAAAGAACTATATAAAGCACTATCATTTATAGTAGAGATAACTTTAAACACCGTTGAATAATCTTAATATATTTCGTCTATAAATACTCTACATAATAGTCTCAATATCGTTTTGAAAGCCAGTGTTCAAGGCTGAGTTGTATGTTTTTTGTGAATGAGAAGCACAGCTAACTGTCGCTGTTTTGTTAACTGATAACAGCTAAGATATATTCTGTTGATTATTTGATAGAACTGATAACAGCTGCTGTAAACTGTTTAGTAGTAGCATATCCTCCAAGATCTCTGGTTTTAACCTAAATAATTATTTATCATCTGAATGTGTTTCATGTGATACACTCCCTCCTACTTTAACTTTTATTTTTAAAAAATTTTACCTTTCCTGCTTTCAGAACTTTTTCAACACCTTTCTTAAGCTTCTCTCCGTGAGTCTGTAGACCAACATGCTGAACATAGCATTCATAGTTCATTATAGGGGTTCCACATACATGGTTCATAATAGGGGTTACACAATCATAGTTCATTATAGGGGTTCCACATTCATAATTCATTATAGGGGTTCCACATTCACAGTTCATTATAGGAGTTTTCCATTCATAGTTCATTATAGGGGTTCCATATTTATAGTTCATTATAGGGGTTCCACATTCATAGTTCATTATAGGGGTTCTACATTCATAGTTCATTATAGGGGTTCCATATTTATGGTTCATTATAGGGGTTCTACATTCAAAGTTCATCACTCAAACAGAAGTGTTTAAACTAAGATGTAATTGGTTTAATCGGTTAATGTTAAACGCTTAAACTAGTTAAAAAGTTTAACATGTTTAAATATGGTTCGACATTTCTTAATATTGAATAAATTCCTTAAAATTGTAGAAAAGCAAATTGACATTATGGTTCAACACTTTCATATAACTAATTTTTTATCATGATACCTGAAGCATTTTAGCAGCTGCTAAAAGAGCAGCTGTAGGATTAGCAATATTTTTTCCAGCTGCATTATCAAAAGTGTGCTTTGCTCCGGGCTCAAAAACGGCTAAATCTGAAAGATAACTCAGTTTTTACATTCTCGTTAAAAGGAAAAATTAATGTTTGTAAACTGGAGGATTTAGTATGTACCTGCTGAATAGCTGGCTCCACCCACAACTCCAGCTCCACCTACTAAACCTACAGCTAGGTTATCAATAATGTTACCGTACAGGTTCGGCATCACCATCACGTCAAACTTAACAGGAGGACAACCAATGTTTACTTTAGAAAATATTTTGGTCAAATTGATTAGGATCCATCCCTTTTTAACTTGGATTAATTGTTCATAACTCCGTCCTGTGAGTAATAGATGCAGTTCTAGTTCATTAATATGTATTTAATTTTACTAAATTTCTCCATTTTGTTAATTTTTTGCTAAATCTTGATTAACCATTACACTGGAAGATTTGAATATTATCAGAGATCTTAACAAAAGTTCGGAGATTTGTTTTTTTTTTAATTAGGAATTTTCTCAATGTTTTTTTTTGCCAGTTAGATTTGCTTTAGTGGAAATTTTGCACTGTTTTTGGCTTTAAACATACAGCAGGAATTTTAGAAATATGAATTAAGGTTTGTGATAAAAATGTTGATGATATTTTGAAATAGTAAAATGAATATAGTATAGTAAACTCTGGTTTCCCTGCTGTGGATTAGAAACCAGCTGCATAGTTGTATTGTCCACAATCATCTTATCAAACTCTATAGAACCAAAACAACTAATTTTATATCATTAATCAAATTCTATAAACACCCAAAACATTAAATCACTCACTAAAAATCAAACTCTTAAATCAAACAATTGATCTTAGGCTTATGCTAGATTTACCATACCATGATTATAAATCAATTATCGGAAATATGTTCTAAGTTGTTCAATGTTAGAAGATCAAAGATTTTTTGTTCCTATATTAGGATAGAGCTTAGCAACATCTTCACAACATCTAAGGAACAGACCATCTCCTAGTTTCATGATATTGGCCTTGTGAACTGCTGTCACCTAGATTAAACAGTTTATCTCTTGTTCAAATCGACCTTGCTATAACTAGTGCAGTTTTTGGCACACATTTAGCACAGTGCTCTAGGCATTGCTTAGGTTCCTATTTTTATATATCTCAGAGTAGAGACAATAACTGATTAAAGTAATTAAACTTGGTCTTACATTCAATTCCACTGTCTGGCAAATCAGATTGAGTGTTTTTAGAATATATTGATAAAGAAAGAGACAAATTTATTTCCATTCTAATTTTTGTGGGAGTTTGAAACAATTAGCTCAGAATAAATCCATATTTGTTAAATAATCTAATTAAGTAAGAATAGTTTAGTTTCAAACCTTTTTACGTCCATGCCTTGTAGCGTAGTCGAAGGCAAACTTTGCAATCCTGTGGGATTTATGTGCAGTTACAACCTTCAAGCATTCAACTACTCCTTTTACAGACTCATGTTCTATAGCAGAATATTCACCTTCAGTCTGCTCTCTACAAAGAGAAAAATATTGGGTGATATCTTGATAAATGTGCACTAGCATGGACCCACTCCTTTCTTCCTTAGGAGGGGGGGGGGGGGTCGGAAGAACTACGAAAAAAGGGACCTAACATTGCACCACATTAAAAGAAGGATTTGCGGTTTACTAAATCTTTTGAACAAGAAACAGAAAAAAAGTTTAGCCTATAAAAAGTTAAGCTGGGTTACAATACGCTCTATAAACACCATGGTAAAGCCCATATTTTGGACTAAGAACAATTTTTCGACCGAGCGCTGTATCTAAAACGACCGTTTCTAAAAACAATCATTTCGTTTTCGACTTTTCATCGTCGTTTTCATAACGAAACGATCGTTTTTCAACAAATTGAAAGCGTTAACAACCCTAGCCTTGTCCATCAAAACACTAAAATAACGACAACAGTAGTCATCTAAAAGTGTGTCCTTGTCATCCAACACGCTCTATCTGTATTGAGAACCCACAATTTAGTTCCTTTACCTGATAATTACACAATCAACATTTTGGTGACGAGATTTTATCCCAGGCAGAGATCGAACCTAAACATTTTAAAATTCTTGAGAAACTGAGTTTTTTTCCCACAAACTCACATATTTCAATCCCTGGTGGTGCAACTATCAATATTCATAGGCTCAAATATCAAAAGTCTACGGCATCAGGTTTCGAAGATAAAGGGATTGGAAATTCCGAGTTTGTGACAAAAACTCACTTCCTTTGCAAAAGGAAAAACGATTTAGACTCAAACATAATCAAGGTCGATACTATTATCAAATTTCAGCTAAAAAATATGGATTTCCACCATGCAGTAAACTTGAAGGCATATATTTACCTTAACTACATTAGCGTACAGATCCAGACTATTTCTAAAGGATTGGTTGAGACCCATTAGTTCTCCAGTATAGCTTGCCTACAAATAAAAATTATCTAAATTACATTTCAAATTTTGAGAAAAATTTGTCTAAAAACAAATTCAATAAAACCAGAAATTGAAAAGGAATTGAGTCTTTGTCACAAACTCTGATTTTCTAATCTCTATATCTTTGTAATCCAATGCCGTAGACCTTAGATACTTCAAGCTATGAATTCTGTTAGATGAAAAAATCTAAGTTTGAAATATCAAAGGTTTACACCATCAGGTGGAATAAATATAGGTATTAAAATCAGAGTTTGTTACAAAGACTCATTTTCTTTACAAGAAAAATAGTTCGCTAGTATTTCATTTTCAGTAGTATTGTAAAGATTGAATAATTTTTTGTAATAAATAGAGAATTAAGAGAGTGAAAATGTATTGCAGTACTGTACATGGGATTGTGCTTACTTCAGGTACAGTTATAACTCCCTTCAAGCAGACACCATTCCTACGAACAGATGCTGTTACGTCTTCTAGGCTTTTACTCGCTCCATGGTTTATCTAGTGAATATGTAATAAAGGGACTAATTACAAATTTCAACGAGATCACAATTTTCAAAAAATAGCTGATTTATGGAATTGAAACTAAAAACTGTAATTTACTTATTGAAATTGCTCAAAAATAACAAATCTTGTTAAAAGTTTAAAGAGTGAGGCCACAATGTATGATAAATAGAGCTGTTTTATGGAATTCAAACTAAGAACTAATATTCACATGTTCAAATTACTCAAAGTAACAATTCTTGTTAAAATTTTAAAGAGCAAGATCAAAATTTATGATAAATAGAGCTGTTTTATGGAATTTAAACTAAGAACTGTTATTCACTTTTTCAAATTGCTCAAAGTAACAAATCTTGATAAAGTTTAAAGAGCGAGATCACAATTTATGATAAATAGAGCTGTTTTATGGAATTTAAACTAAGAACTGTTATTCACTTTTTCAAATTGCTGAAAGTAACAAATCTTGTTAAAAGTTTAAAGAGCGAGATCACAATTTATGATAAATAGAGCTGTTTTATGGAATCTAAACTAAGAACTGGTTTTCACTTTTTCAAATTTCTTAAAGTAACATATCTAATTAAAAACTAGAGTTAAAAAGATTATAAAAAATCGCATGCTCTAATTATAATAGATCATACATTAAATAAAAAAGAATCTCCGAATGTTGTTAAAGCATATCTTATATTTTAATGTTTTATTGTTTAAAGAATGATCCTGCTTAAAAGGAAATAGAATTACTTCCCATGGGAAGATGATATTTCATATCTATAGTTGTTGGTTTATGTTTAATGACTGTTGATTGTTGATTTTTCAAACTAAAATTGCAAAAATCGACACCATTAATAAATATGTTCTCAAAGGAATTGAGTTTTTGCCACAAACTCTAATTTTCTATTTTTATTTTTTCAAACTGATGGTGTAGACCTTTGATGTTTCAAACTTAGATCATTTGATCTTACAGAGTATATAGTTTGAAATATCAAAGGTCTAATTTATCGGGTTGCAAAGATAAAGGGATTAGAAAATAAGAATTTGTGGCAAAAACTCAATTTCTTTGTCATAATCTTCATCAATATCATTATTCATGATTGCGACAAATATATTATTCTTTATAAACATAATAACGGCTTTATTTAATTGCAAGATTATACATTCCCAGGAAGCGTAGCTACTAGCTAGAGATGTATAAATTGAAGTTTTGAAGATTGCATGAACGACTGTGATTTTATTAAAAACTTAAAGATTACCTTTTTCACACATTTTGCGATATTATTGTTTTCTTAGGTTGACGATTAATGTCTAACATGGACTTAAAAAGTAAATAATGTTGATATAAGGTTTTCTGCATAAAGTAAGCACTAAGCACTGAGCGCGCCCATGTTTAAAAGTTTGATTTATTTCTACCTCAGAGAGATACATCTCCTCAAAATCCACAGGGGCACCCATAGAAGATAGAACTTCTCTAGCAGAATCCATTAGTTCCGGTCCTACATTTACAAATATTTAAAGGAGTTATTTTACCTTTATATCAAATGTTTCTTTAAAGATATTTTTCTATAGTGGTCGGTGTTTATATCAATACAATGAAGACGACTTTTATATTTAAGTTTTGATAAATTACTAGTTTACGAGTAAACAAAGAGAAGATGTTAATTTGCAGTTTCTCTTGTATCTATGTTTTCTATGCTGCTTAAAAGCTTTATAGAAATCAAAATTTAAATTGAAAGCTGTGTTTATTGTATTGATGTATTGGTGTACGGATCCCTAGCTGAGCTACTGTAGCTGCTTCTACACATTACAAAACAAAAATGTGTTCTACTTGGACCGTGTAAGACGGTGTTTTTGAAACAATAAGATTGTTTAAAATGTGGAATTATTTTAAGAATGATTACTTTAGTTTAAAATATTTCAATTCCAATTTGAGTAATGGCAATTCAATTTCAATATTAAAGGAATTAAGTCTTACTGTTTGCCACACACTTCTATTTCTAATTCCTATATCTTTGTTACCCAATGTCGGAGGCCTAAGATATTTCAAACTGTGAATTCTGTTACATCAAGTAATGTAAGTTTGAAATATCAAAGGTTTACTTCATCAGATTGAAAAGATATTAGGTTTAGAAAATTTGAGCTTGTTACAAAGACTCAATTCCTTTTGGATAATTTTTATCATGAATAATACTAAAGTTATAAAATTTTATTAAAATTGAATTTTAAATTACCTACACCATCGCCAGGAATGAGAGTGCAAGTAACCCTGAAAAATAATTGTCCACTTCAAAATGATTTTTAAGTTTTAGATTTTCAGCCACATTAGAAAAAGACCTTTTAAAATTCGGTGATGGTGACGGACCAAACCTCTGTAGAGTAAAAAAAGTGGATGTTAGTTCCACATTTATTGAAAATATATTTCGGTCTGGGTTGACCCTCGTCAGTTCTTGAGATTGTTTCTGTCACAAAGATTAAAAACATTGTCTGTTGTCACCCAGGGGTTTGTATTTAACTGTATTCCATTCAGAAGTTACTGATTTGAAATATGTCTAGACAGAAATAAATCTTAAAACCGAACTGAAATATAATTAAAGCATGATTTAGGTAAACAGAATTTGTATTCCGTAGAGCTCCACGTTGTTTACATCTCTGCCAATTTAAAATAATAGAAAACCTTTTATACCTTGGAGCCTCAACTTTAGATGAGAGGTGTAGCTGGGCAGCTGGTACCAGGCCGGTCAACCCGCTTTTCTGTCCTAGTCCCTTAAAAACCAAAGATCCAAGCTTCATGCTTGATGATGCCATACTTTCTGAAACAATTAATCAAAAAGTATATCAGAATCCGTATTTTTTTATCAACATTTGTTAACTAAAACAATTTCATAATTTTTTTATTTTCATGGATTTTTTCCTGGCATGTGTTCCGAGATTCAAATTTTTCCAAGGTGTTAGAATTGCAGCTTCGTATGAAAACAGTTTTTAGAAAAGTATTGGTACCATGTCCGAGTAATTAACTATCCTTACCGATTTTTTATCAGAAACCCCTTACTCCATTGCTTCTCTTTCACGTAAATGCAACTTTATCACTAAATTTATGTTGAAAAACAATTTATTTCTTATTAAAGCTGTATTTACAGTTTGAGACCAGGTTTATACTAGGTCTTGTATTATTTCATGCGTTAGAAGAGAACTAGTAAAATACAGATAAATCTTAGAACAGCTGATTCCCTTCCCTAGTTCAGCTTTCCCTCCATCTTTTAAACAGACAGATAGATAGACAGATAGATGTAACGGATAGATAGATGAAAATATGCTCAACTATTAGAAAGCTCCACCCCTCCCCCGCCCCCATAAAGAAAGCTTTATAATTATTATACCATATAAAGACAGTGAATCATATAGAATATGAAATTTTAGAACCTTACAGTAGTCAACGAATTCAACTTAGAATCTCTAAACCAAGTTAAGAACATTTCCGTGGTTCTCCTGAGTTCTACAATCAAAAGGAATTGAGTATTTGCCACTAACACTGATTGTCAAATCCTTATATATCTATGAAACCTTATGATTTAAACCTTTTATAGTTCAAACTTAGAATATTTGATCTAACAGAATTATTAGTTTGAAATATCTTAGATCTACGTCATGGGGTTGCAAAGATATAGTAATTAGAAAATCAGAGTTTGTGGCAAAGACTCAATTCCTTAGCGGCAAATCTGTCATATGATTCCTGAGTTATGATCGGACAAACAAATAGACAAACAAACAAGCATGACAACTTTATATATAGATAAAAGTCGACCCCCTCAGCTTAGAATCTTAAAACCAAGCTAAGAACATTCCTGTGGGCCTCGCGTGTTCCCCAATCAAAATTTAAGGCAAATCGGTCCAGGGGTTTCTGTGTTATGATTTGACAAACAAATAGACAGACAAACAGAGATTACAATTTTATATAGATATTAATAATCAATGATATTTTTTTGCTTTTCAATGGTTTAATGAATTCATTACGATTGTTTACACAAGGTTATGATGAACTGTGCCTCAGGAAAATATAGAGAATAAACATACTTTTAAGGAACATATATATTATATACCATATACATGAATTGAAATTTTATTTTTAATGTTTCTATTTGTTATAAAACCATTGTTGTTTGAAACAGTAGCCACGAGCTAGCTTGTAGCTATAGATAATATTGTTTATATTCTTACACTGTATTTAAAGAAACCTAAACATTAATATATCTAACTATCTATCCGCAGATAACTATCTATCTATCTGTCTATTAGTTTCGACTTCCTTCCTTTTCCGTCCATATGACGGAAATAGTAAAAGGATCCTGATTCTACGGAATAACAGGCCAATGATGGATGGTTTGTAAAGATTAAGAGGATGGGGGGGGGGTGAATTTTGAAAGTGTGTTTTTAGAACGTAACGTAATAAGAGAGTACTAATTGGTAAATTTGATAAATATTTAGGATTAATAAGTTTCCAGCGAACTTTTAAAATGACTTTTTAATGTTGAATATTCATTTCATACCTACACAAAGTTTCGGATCAATCTTTAGAGTGTATTTTCCTTGCATGGTATAAATTCATTTTTAAAAACTTGAACCGACTAAATTGCAGATTTTTAAAATTTAGTTTGCGGATTTTCTCTTCCGCCATTAAATCTGAAATGTTGGCTAAGCTACGTTCTTTTTAAAATGATCTTTTTAGCACAATAAAAAAATCAACTGAACAGTCAAAACGGTCTTGATTTGTTTATCTAAATGTAAACTTATCTAAACCTAATTTAATCAATTCCAATTAATATTGAATGTTAAAATGTTTACACCGACATTACACATTATGTCAAAATATATAGTGATTAAAAGTTCACTGACATATTTCAGATAAATATCCGTCAATATTATTTAACATGGGAAAAAAATTATTATAAAATACGCTGCTTTATTATTTTTAGATAAAGGAATTGATTCTTTGCCACAAACTCAAATTTTCTAATCCCTATTTCTTTACAACTTGAAGGTGTAAACCTTTGATATTTCAAACTTATAATATTTGATCTGTCAGTATTCATAGTTTGAAATATTTAAGCTCTACGACAATGGGTTGCACAGATATAGGGATTGGAAAATCAAAGTTTGTGACAAAGACTCAATTCCTTAGTCGTGTCTGAAGTCAATCCACTGTATTTATCATCTATTAGTCATTAACACATCGCGGAAATCATTTTTAGATTATATTTTTAAATTACTTTTCTTTTCCCGTAAATGCTATAAGTCTCCATATAGAGAAATATTTAAAGATATTTTCAAGGTTCTATATATATTTCACCTGAACAATAAAAGTTCAAAAACAAGAAAAATGAGTAATTTGAGTAAAAAATAGGTTTACCAATCCTGATCCAAATTTACTGTAAAGGAATCAAGTATTTGCCATAATCCCGACCCATTTGTTTTCGGATCCCTATATCTTTGCAACTCGATGTCGTGGATAATATACATATTGCTTAACCTTTGAATTGTTTTAATCAAATAATTTAAATCTGAAATTATCAAAGGTTTACAACCTCCAGGTTACAAAGACATAGCGATCTGCAAATAAATTGAGTTTGTGGTAAAAACTAAATTCATCTTAATATTTATGTTGCCTGTAACAAATTTAACTTATCTCGGACACATGTTTTATATTAAAAAATATATAATTAATCCATCGATACACGGAATCATTGATCATCAACGGATTTATTGCAATGATCCACTAGTTCATTGGTACACAGATCCGTTAAAACAGTTGGGTCTATTGGTCCAATAAGCCATTGATCCATTGGGTTCTATTGATCCACGGATCCATGGATTATTTGATCCGCGGATTCGAAGAACCATTGCAGTGAGCCATCCAAATGGAAACTACAATCATTCATCATTTTTGTTTTTTAGAATGGAGTCCTGCAGAATTGGATCTAATAGAAGAGTTCCAACAAATTCTGAACACAACCCCTAAGGTAGATTAAACTCGTTAAACACAACCCCTAAGGTAGATTAAACTCATTAAACACAACCCCTATAGTAGATTAAGCACATTAAACACACTAAACACAACTTTAAGAGTATATTTAACTCAAGTACAATAGGTGGCAACAGAGAAATGAACCATTTAAAAACGACACGACGTCACAAGCAGAGGCGCAACTAGGGGGGGTGGCCGGGCGCGCCCCCCCCCCCCCTGCAGGATGAAAAGAAAGAAAGAATGGCGAAAATCAGTATCACAGGAATAAGAAAACCAATAGAGTTATTGTAGAAATTTTATTAAACTATAGTTAGTTTAAAAAGAAATATTTTTATCTTTCTCAATTCTCAAGGCTAAAGGGCACAAGAGCAACCTGGAGATGAGAGGGAGCAAAGCCATTCCAACAAATCTAGACGAAGCTTTGCAGGAAATAAATCCTTCAGTATTCCCAAACTTATTCACTATGCTGAAAGTAGTAAAAACACTTCCTGTCTCTAGCTGTGAGGCCGAGAGGTCTTTTTCTACGCTCAGGAGGTTATCAACATGCTGAAAAAAAACATCAATTAGTGTCTATAGAAAGGGACCGTCCCTTTGCGCTCGAATTCTGAACGAAAAATCGACTTTTTCTCCGGCCACAGTTGTCTTTGAAAAGTAAGACTATTACTAATCAAGTGCGAATAGGCTGTTTAGTTTACCCTGAAATTACCCAAATAAGTGAACAGTCCCTTTAAAGGAATTGAAATTTTGCCAAAAATTCTGATATTTTAATCCCTTTAATTTTATCTTTGCAACCCAATGTCGTAGATATCAAACTTTGAATTCTTTTGGTAAAATATTCCAAGTTTGAAATATCAAATGTGTACACCACTCGGTACAAAGATTTAGAGATTAGAATATTTGAGTTTGTGGCAAAAACTCAGTTCCAAATCTAGAGAAAATTCTGAACCTGGCAAATATATCAATATCTAACTGATTATCATATTTGATAACTAACAAGATTTATCTTCTTTGACAGAAGTTCTGTAAAATCGAAAATGAATTTAGATTATGAATGTTGGTTAGATCAATCATTAATGCAATAACATCAATTCAAGAGAAAAGGTAACATCATCTGTACTTTTTCAATGTATACTGTAAACATTAAAGCGTGATAAAAAATAAGAATTTTTGGAAAAGCGAATCACAGAGGTTTTTTTAATAAATTATCCCCGAATTATGAATAATTTCAATCAATCATCTATAGATGATTGAATTTATTATTTACCTATGTATTTTTATGTTTTTTTTCCAGAAACTATAAATGATTATTTCTTGAAATTTAATCTGTAATTAAACCAGGTACTTAAAAAATACTCTTTTGCGTCTCTGGTCACAAGTGTCAAATATAACAAGGAAACGAAATTTTCTCACATCAGTTGACATATTTCCTAAAATAAATAAAATAGTGTGAAAACAGAAAATAAAGAACACATATAACTGCACTTAATTTACTGTAAGATAAGCACTTTATTCTAAAATTATCATTATTATTGACAATTTTTTCGGACACAAAAACTGAATTGTCACTTGTGACGTCAGAATACGTCTGTACTGAGAGTGCAAATTCTACGTTGCCATCTATTGTACTAAAATCTATATATTTATCGTGAACACAATATTCAAACACTTGACGCTTTAAAGGGACTAGAGAGGTCTTATCAATTGACCCTCAATGTATACCTTTAGCTGATCAACGATAAACAAGACATCCTTATTCGTCTTGCTAAAAATAGATTATTTTCTAATTTGGTAACTCTAGACAAGGATTTTCAGAGACATTGAGGAATTTAGCGCGGTTGCAAATCGAACATTTCATTATAAATAAGAGTCAGAGCTCACTTAAAACTACGTTTACCTTCCTTTAAAAGATTAAATCCCAAACCAATTTTATAATATAAAAGAAAAAAATTTTAAATAAAAGTTTAAATTTATAGATTTTTATTTTTTAGGGTCAGTTGATCGAGACCACAAAGTTTCTTCTCTTTAACACCCAAGCTGTGGATATTATAGGTTAATTGTTATAAATTTATTCAAAAATGGGTTAATCAATTTGGAAGGTACAAAAAATTGATATTTTCTAATCTTTGCTACCTCACAGCGTAATCTTTTGATATTTAAAACTATGTAATCAGCTACATAAACTAGTTTGAAATTGAAATGTATGTATACGCCATCAGAATGAAAAAAATATGGATTAGAATATTAGAGTTTGTGGTAAGTTTTCTTTTTCAGAAACCACGTTAAGAACCGGTTTGGAGGAAACAACAACAAATAGACAAACAACCCTTGAATCCTCTGACACTACCCTGCCTGATGTATCCCTGGTAGGTGCAGGGTCGGAGAGTGAATTAAGATCTGCCACTGTCCCCACTACGCTATCAGAGATATCTCCCTCCTTCCTAGTATCTTCTACCACTCAGAAGATTCAGCTCAGGCATATTCAACTTTATATCGCTCACTAGTTATAGTGACATTCATTGAACATTTTCAACATTTTTTTCCTGCAATCAAATCGCTCGGAGTTGGATTTTTTATAACGATTTCCTCACTAAAGAGCCAAATATTCTAATTTTCTAATAATTACTTTGCAAGATTCAGGTGTTTAAAAAACTAGAGTTTGCAGGGAGTTATCAGCTCATTTAGCTTACTGTGTAACTACTTCTTTATTTGAAATGCAGGGGAAGAAAATTCAAATCCAAGCCGATGGTCCAAACCTGACGACCAATGAGTTTTGTATTATGAGTAAACAGTTAGCACTAAATATCAGATTTATTGTAGAGATCAATCAAAGGTTATCTTACTAAAAAAAAACTCTTGTAAAGGTTAAAAAATGTTCAAGCTTTGTTTCAAAAAAAAAGTTGAATCTGTTTATAGAGAACCTAAATCCTTAGAAATTGAGATAAATGATCGTTCCAACAGAATTCCAGTTTTTAGGAACATATTTTTATGAATTAGAAAACAAATAAAGAGATGTTCTGTATTATTTTAGGTGACTCTCCATCCATTATTTACAAGAGAGTACAAGATAAGTCTTTTTCAGATTTTGGCCAAATCTGTCTTCGTTTGTCATAAATAGGTTGTTGTTAGTCATTCATGGTACTCTTAAGATTAAGGCTATACTTTAAAAAAAAGAAACAAAGGATTTGAGTCTTTGCAACAAATCCCAATTTTCTAATACCTATATATCTACAACCAAAGTATGTAATCTTTTGATATTTCTAACTTTGATTGTTTGATATAACAGAAGTCATAGTTTGAAATATCTAAGGTCTACAACATTGGGTTGTTAAGATATAGGGATTTAAAAGTCAGAGTTTGTGGCAAAGACTCAATTCATTTAAACTATTCTGATCATGGAATGTGTTATTGAAATTTAGTGACATGCTGCCCCCACAGTCAATCCATCCTCCTTCTCTGGTCAAGGCAACATCGTTCGACGACCTTCTTCAGAAACCAAAATTTAAAAACTTTGACCTTGAAAATTTTCCTAAAAGATTGAAGGATGAATTTGAGGGAGAAGTTCCAGATATTTCACTTGAAAAGCGTAAAGAATTAATCAAGGAAGCTTTAGGTAAATCATCCACATGTTAGGCCCAAACAAACCTTTTCATTTAAATATGTAACATCAATTAGACATAAGATTGCTTAAATGCAATCGTTTCAATCCAATTTCTGTGGTTTCGCTTTTTAAATAACGAAGAGTACCCAAACATTTTTAATCGTTTTTTTTATTTTAGAACGTCTGAAAACTCAGAGACAGGAAGACACCACTACTAATGATGAAAAAGATTATGATTTTGGTGCAAGTGAATCACCAAATGACTATTATGAATATGAGGATGATTACAAAGAAAACTTACCAAAAAGTGAAAAGCCGCAAGATTTTGCGGAAATGCCGCGTACAGTTCAATCTACAACGGAAGAAGACGACTTGGCTCACACTTCTACAATTGATATAGTTCAACCAACAATAGGTAATCAAAATAAAAATGTTTTTAAAAATAATCTTATTTTTCTTTTTATAGTTATTAATCTGGTCGAGAATTTATCAGGAAAAATAACCATATATATTAATAATTTTTAACAAATTTAAAAAGCTATTCGTCGATTTTTACATTTTCATTTTTAACTGTTTTATTTCAAAATAAAATGGATTATTTAAAGTTGCTGGGATCAATAATGATTTGGATGGAATTTCTACTCAAGCAGGTAAATATCAAAACATGAAATATCTAAAATAAAAACAAGATTTTTTACATGTTTTCCTTATCAGAAAAACCAACTGTTGAGGATGAAAAGAGTTTTGAAGTAAACAAAATTGAAGAGATCGAGAAACTTCTTGAAGAGCACACTGAGTCTTCTTTCAATATTGGTTTCGGTAATTAACATCTCTTCTATCGAAACATAAATAAAGGGGAAAAACTTTTAAAAACTAAAATTATTTCTTAATGAGGTCAAATATGAAAGTTTTTTTCCGATGCACATAGATCAAAAAACTGTATACAGTGGCAGGCAAATATATCAATACAAATAAGACGACTTTTAAAAAGCTTTTTTCGAATCATAAATTTACAGGTAATCATAAAGAAATAGACAGATTCTCTTGACGTTTATGTTTATGTGTATCCATGTTGTTTAACAGTTTGATATAAATCAAAATGTAAATCGAAAGTTGTGTTCATTGTATTGATACAACCGCCCACCAGTGATATAAATTAATTGCTTATTTATGAAACACTAAAAGAGAGAAAACTAGATTTAAACAAAGTTAAGTGCATACTTGTTTATAGTTCCCAACATGATGCAAGCAACGATCGAGAAACTACTGAAAATGAAGAAAAAAGACCCACTCAACACTGTTAGGAATCATTCTTAATTTTCTTATAAGATAAAATAGCATTTCTTTAAACAGATTGCAAGATAAAATAACATTTCTTTAAACAGATTGCAAGATAAAATAACATTTCATTAAACAGGTTGCAAGATAAAATAATATTTCTTGAACAGATAGCAAAAAGGTTGCAGGATTATATTAAAACTAATTAAAACTGGGTTTCAAAATATCGCCATTTTATAAGTTTTTACCTCTTTCTTTAAAATAAAAAGTTAATGATTGTGTGTGTGCAGATCCAAAGGAGAGTTTGGGGTAAAAAGTAACACTGATAAACTAGGCAGATTATTTATCAAATTATTATCTATTTAAAAATGTAGATTAGAACATGTCGAAGTCGAAATTATTATTGTGTGTTTGTAAATAGTTTTCAGATTTCATTATAACCGAGAACAATGTCTTCGTCCATTAGCAATATTGTAAATAGAGGCCATTTTATTAATAAGAATCCTAAGATCAGAACTTTTATGTGAAGTATTATTAATCTGGAGCGCTTTATCTCGATATCCAATGTGTGATCACTTCTAAATTTGAGGATAAATGCTTGCAGGGTAGGACAATCACAGGATATATCGAAGAGGAATTAAATTAATCCGTAGATTTACATAGGATGGAGATCAAGGCTTAATCCGGAGATTAAGAACAAAAAAATTCTGACTTCTGACTCATATAATGAAAGTTTGTTTGATAAAAAATCTGTCCTGTTAAGTGGTCCCTGAGGAACACCAGAACCCACTCCTCCGTCAACTCCAGAGCAAAGTCAATGAGAAAATAAAGAATTTGAATCCTCCAAACAAGAAACAAAATTACTTTCTCACAAAAAACCTGAAATCATCCAAAAATGACATAATAACTGGTTTAAACACGCCGTCAAATAAACTAAAAACCAAAAATATTTCAAATTTGGATTTACCTGAAGAAGTAAGTGATGATTATCTTGAAGTGAATACCGAAGATACTCTTGATGAGGATGCAGAGATTTTAGAAAATGACGAAGAGGATGCTTACGGAGGTCACTTTGCAGTGGAGAACATGTCACAGAAAAAGTCTGAAAAATTTGTAGTTGTTCCCTTTAACCCTCTAGATCCTTTAGGTAAAAAAAATATGATTTTTCAGAAAAAAAAATAGTGAATTGGGTTTATTATATAATTTGATGCGACATTTTTGATTTTTAGATAAAAGTGTTCCAGAGTTCCCTCCAGGAGACAGTTTCCATGGTTCTCCACCCAGGGAACATCAGGATCTGTTCCGAAGACCACTAGGAACGGATAATGATGGAACGTTTAAACATTTACTGAACGTTCCAGAAGGAACTTTAAAACCTGAATCTTTAGAAATAGGTAAGCAGACGAAAAAACCACAAGAATAAATTGAAACTAAAAGAGAGGCGGATTTTTTCAAATCTAAAAAAGGTGGTTATTCTCTGGACCCATGTATTTTTGTTCCACTAAATACTTGAAAATGAAAAAATGGATATAATAACATGCGTCATATGTTAATATTTGTCAAAAGTAAAAAATTATTTTTGAATATTTTTTGATATACTTTTTAATCTTTAAAAAAAAACCTCCCTCACACCCTAACCATTAAAGTTAGAGCTCTATTTTTTTTAATGAGCAGGCCTTGAAACATTATACTAGGGACATTTACTCCCCTATTTCAATTCAGGGCAAAATCATAGGTTGGGGGGGGGGGGTTAAAAACATCCCCCCCCCCCATCCACATTAGACAAAAATAGCCCAATTGGGATAATAATAATAATAATAATTTAGATTTACCCGACCAGCATCAAAATCCATTATTGTCCCTGTTGAACCCAAACAAAAAGGTAAACAAACAAAAACCCAAACAAACAAACAAAAAAACAAACAAACAAACAAACAAACCAACAAACAAAAACAAAAAAAAACATATTTTACGAAAAGTTGTTTGTGAACAAAGGAATTGAGCCCTAGCCACAAACTCAAATTCTCTAATCCCTATATCTAGTGTAAACGTTTTATATATCTATGGTCTACGACATTGGGTTGCAAAGATATAAGGATTAGAAAATCAGAATTTGTGTAAAAGACTCAATTACTTTGCAATTAGAATTATTTAAAGACATAAGAATTTACAAAAATAATTCAGGATTCACAAGATAAGGATAATCTGTCTCTTCCAGATTATAAACAGAACCCTCTTCTTAGACAGGTATTCATTTATTCATTTATTCATTTATTTGTTCATTCATTTATTCATTTATTCATTTATTCATTTATTCATTTATTCATTTATTCATTTATTTATTTATTCATTTATTCATTTATTCATTTATTCATTTTTCACTTATTCACTTATTCACTTATTCATTTATTCATTTCTAATTTGTTCACTTATTCACTTATTCACTTATTAACTTATTCATTTATTCACTTATTCATCTATTCACTTATTCACTTATTCACTTGTTCATTTATTCATTTCTAATTTGTTCATCTATTCATCTATTCCTTTAATCATTTACTCAATAAACCATTTATTTATTTATTCATTTATTTATTTTTTCATTTATTAATTTATTAATTTATTCAATTATGCATTTGTTCATTTATTCACTTACTCATTTATTCATTTATTAATTTATTCATTTATTCAATTATTCATTTATTCATTTATTCATTTATACATTTATTTATTTATTCACTTATTTACTTCATTTATTTTAATTTTCATTTATACGTTTATTCGTTTATTTATTAAGTCATTTTGTCATTTAATTATTTAGTTATTCCTACATTTTTTATCTCTTTATTAAATAGATTATTTATTCATTTATTCGAATATTCATTTATACATTTCTTCATTTATTCAATTAGTCATTTTGTCATTTAGTTATTTATTTATTCATTCATTTTTTTATCTCTTTATTAAATAGTATATTTATTCATTATGAAATTATCTTATAAGTTTTTAATGTCCTTATTGGCAAAAAAGGTATACACTCTCGAAGAAAAACTTGGGTTTGGAAATCAGTTTCGATATATTTTTATATCCTCATCAATCGTTAAAAAATAGTGGTATTAATAAAACTAATTAAAAATCGAGTCAATGTTTATTAATTTCTTCATTATTGTACTTTTCATCCTCTTCAAATCTATTCATCAATATCTGAACAATTGATATCTCCTTTATTTCTCGTCTGAAAGTGTGAAAATTTGAAAATAAAGAAATTATTCTTGTTTTTAGATATCAAGTTCTCCCCAGAACTACGAGGCTGATTTCTTAACTCTACCTGCCAAGGATCAAATGGAGGTTGTTCAACTCTTTGTAGAGGCTGGTGACGAAGACACTGTGGATATATTCATGGATCTCATGCATTCAAGGTTGATAGTTAGAACACATGGAACAAATGAAACACACAATTACAAGAAACACACGAAACACATGGAACACAGATAACACAGAGAACACATTGACCACATGGAACACATGTATACACGTGTAAAACATAGAACAAATAGAACACATGGAACATATGGAACACACGGAACACATAAAACACATGGAACACAAGGAAAACATAGGATACGTGGAACACAAAGAACACATGTAACACATGGAACACTTGTAACACATGGAACACATGGAACACATGGAACACAAAGAACACATGGAACACAAATAACACAGAATACATAACACATTGAACACATGGAACACTTAGAGCACATAGAACACATGGAACACATGAAACACATGGAACACTTAGAAGACTTAGAACAATTGGAACATATAGAACATAAGGAACACACATAACATATGGAACACGTGGAGCACGTGGAACTTGTGGAACACGTGGAACACATGGAACACACATAAAACATGGAACACGTAGTTCACATGTAACACATAGAAGTCATGAAACATATGGAACACATGGAAAACATGGAACACAAGGAAAGCATAGGATACATGGAACACAAAGAACACATGTAACACATGAAACATAGGGAACACGTGGAACACAATGCATTGGAGGTTAATATCGATTCAATACGGGCGAGGTGGAGAGAGTGTTTGATAGATGAGGACCTGAGTTTTGATAAAAAAAAAGTAACACAAAATTGTATTGCTTAGCATGTCTGAGGACCTAGTTCTGGCTCCTGAAAACTCCAAGGACCCTTTGTTAAACCTCTCCGTTGAACCTAAACCTGACAGGTTTTCAGGTTCAGCTCCATCACTCAAACAGAATCCACTCTTCAGATTACTTAACCCTCATCCTTATAATATTAGGTATTTAAAACCTTGCAAACTGTGTGCTGCTTGTTTATTTACAAAGAAAATGAGTTTTTGTCACAAACTCTAATCCCTTTAGATGTAATCTCATGGTGTTCTAATTTTGGAACCCGGTTAGTCTACCAGCCACTGCCCACTTGTCGTAAATTACGATTTTTGCTATTTTTCCCGCTAAAACTTAGAATCTGAATACCTAGCTAGGAACATTCCCGTGGGTCTCCCGAGTTCCCCAATCAAAATTTCAGGAAAATCGATCGGACAAACCAACCAACCGAGATTACAACTTTATATATTTAGAAACTTAGACTTTTTGATCCAACAAAATTCTAGTTCGAAAAAGCAAAGGTCTACGACATCAGGTTGCAAAGAATTGGGAGTCAAATATTAGAATTTGTGGCAAAAAATCATTTCCTCTTTTCTAATATTTTCCTTTGATATCAGTTTTTAGCACAATTATAATTCCAGCAATAATTTCTGCAGTACTAAATATAAATATAAATGTAGCTTGTCTGGGTGTCTGTAGGTTTATATCCAATAAACGTCAAAACGGCTGAACCGATCGGGCCCAAATTTTGTGTGGGACATCACGTGACCCCAGGGAAGGTTTATGAATTATCAAAATTTCAAAAATTTGTGCTAAAAAATTTTTATATTTTGTAAAATTTTAAAAATGCGCGAAAAAAATCGTATGAAATCCGCAAACTTTTTTAAAAAAATTTATACTGTAAAAAGAGAAGATGCTCACAGATAAAGCCACAATTAAAAGTTGAAATAGAGGATGGGTGCGAAGCGCCCTAAAATCCTAGTGTTATAAACTTGATTTAATTTTGAATTATAAACTAATTATTTTATCATTAGGTCTGGAGAATTATCTGTTCCTGATTATAAACAGGATCCTCTCCTTAGATCCTTGATGGTAAACTTTATACTTTTAATCCTTCTTAATCCTACTATTTTAATCCTTCTCTAATCCTTCTATTTTAATCCTTCATTTATCCTTCTATTTTAATCCTTGTCTCATCCTTCTATTTTAATCCTTCTCTCATCCTTCTATTTTAATCCTTATCTCATCCTTCTATTTTAATCCTTTTCTCATCCTTCTATTTTAATCCTTCTGTAATCCTTCTGTTGTTCCTTTGTTCAATTACCTTTTAAAGACTGTAAGACACGTGGATTTAACGGTTCTGTCAGTATTTCAGAAAACTGTGACTTTCGATCAGAATTTGACCCCTTTTGCATAATTTTATAGCCATTTATCTGAAATATTTTTTTGTTGGCATATATATTTTGAATGAAAGAGTATAAAATAAACAAATCTGTAAGTTTAAAGACTGTTGAGTTATAGACGAAAACACGTTTGATTTCAAATTAAAGAAACCGAAGCTTCTCACTCTGGTTAGTTCGGGGTGAAGAGTAATTTCAGTGACCCTCCATGCAAAGATTGCCATGCCCGATTTACAACACCTACCCTTGAAACCTTAATCTGTTCAAAAATGTTAAAGCTAACGTCGTTTGTTTTTCAGCAAGAAAAGCATGGATATCTAGTTCATAATTTATCAGACAAACCTTTTAATGATGCTGTTGTGATTGTGAATCGAGTATTGTCATTTTTGCATGGAGGGTCACTTGAAATTACAGTCACACAAACTGTATTTTCTCTTGTACTTCTTCTTCCCTCACCCCCGTCTTTCCTGTAAATGTTCCTTAATACTCTTTTTTCCTAAAAGTGTTTTCGCATAAAAATTTTTTAAAAAGTTTGCTTAAATTATAAACAAAGTTTTTTAGAAAAGCCCTGAGAGATTTCAGGAAAATTTCCTTCAACTCCCTAGACCGGATCAAACAAATCTACTCAAAATAATCAAGGTGAATTTTTATTTGAATTTTTCCATTTCATATTTTTTTTGTAAGTTGATCTAATAGATTTTTTATTTGTAATTATAACGCCGAATTTTTTTTTTAAATACGTTATGAATCCTTGTAAAAATGTTAGTAAATGCTTTTTGGCGTGATACTAAGACATGAAAATGATTCACGATAACATTGTTGTCTTTTTGTTTATTTTTGTCTATTTGATCAAATAAACCTACTTTAGGCCAACTTTGATGATTTTGATGTTGATGGTCTAATTCCTCCATCTATAAAACAGGATCCTCTACTTGGTATAAAAGAATTTTTATTAAACATGCATTTTACTGAATTTAAATATTTTATGAAGAGTTATTTTATCTCATTCAAAAATAATTATTTTTCCTTGCATTTGTTAAAAGGCTAATTTTATTATTTTATTCTGTATTTGTATAAATAATTTGAGGGTAACCTAGGTAAACTTATGAGTAACCCTGTATTTATCTCGGTAAACAAGTGGGTAACCCTGTATTTATCTAGGTAAACATGAGGGTAACCATGTATTTATCAAGGTTAACTAGTTGGTAACCCTGTATTTATCTAGGTAAACTAGTGTCAGGAATAAGTTCAACCTATTCTGGTCTCATAGTCCCTTCTAACAAACAAAATCCGCTACTCAGAATACTTAAACCAGGTTATTTTATATACAGTTTAAGAGACGCAAACTTTTCTGAATTTAGTTTTAAAATCTTAGAAGTTTCATTAAAATTATAATCAGGAGATGGAGGTGAAGTATTGAACCTGTCTGCACCAGACTATAGTCAGGATCCTCTTCTTCGTCAGCTAGCTGCGCATCCTCAGCAGTTCAAGGTTCAACTCAGCTACTCAAATATGAGTCCATATTAAAATCACCTTGATATTTAAAAGTCGATGGAAAACGAACTGGCCCTCAGAGTTTTATTAAAAATATTGGACCCTAACCCCCTGATTTTAAGACTATTGGACCCTAAACCATCTTTAAATTATTGGACCCTAACCCCTTAATTTTGTTTACTACTTTTAGACCCTAATTTCTGATTTTTATCAAAATTATCGGACCCTAATCCCCTGATTTTTATCAAAATTATTGGACCCTATCCTCCTGATTATTAATGTACCCTGAATTCTCATTTCAAATACTCTTCAATCTAGAGCTATATTATTACTTATTATCTTGGAAACCCAGCTATGGCTGGAGCCCAATTGTTCAACCCAAGTCAATAATAATACCGTGATTCATGCAAACAAACAGACAGACAAACAGAGATTACTGCTTTAAATGTTTATAAAATATTAAATCCTAAAATGTAAAAAGAATAAATATATATTAAGGATGATTTCCTTGAACTCCCACGTGAGCACCAGCTGCCTCTGTTGAGAATATTAAAAGCTAATTATGGAGATGATCTAATCCAGGATTTACTAACACCACCTCCCTCCTCACATTCTAAGGTTTCAACTATTTTTCTTATGTTTATGGAGAAGTATTTTCAGGATTAAAGGGATTGGTAGCGTAAAGTTAACTAACCCTCCATGCAAAGATAGCATTTACCAAATAACAATCAATCTGGTCAAAATACTGTAGATTTTTGAACTCGAAAGGTTTTCATTTCTATGAGGTTTTCCATTGTTTCTTATTAGCAAGAAATTCGCAAGTCACTTTTGCAGAGAAACCACAAATGAAAATGAACTTGAATTCTTGATAATCTTCTTTATTTTTGTCATCTTGCTTCTAATCAATCTGACAATCCTACTCTTAGGCCCATGAAACTGAGGATGTTGAGCTGATTCAAGGATTTTCTGATTCAAACCAAAACCTGGAACAAAGTGAGAATCTTGATATTCCTACAACTCCTGCAACCCAACAGAATAATCCGCCTTTATCCAGTCTAGATTCTTCCCCTGACGATACGAACTCCAGGTCTGCACCAAACATAAATCAAAACCCATTGCTCCGACCCCTAAACCCAACTAGGGATGAATCAGACTCTCTCTCTGTTCCAAACTACAAGCAGAACCCATTGCTCCGACCCCTAAACCCAACTATGGATGAATCAGACTCTCTCTCCGCTCCAAACTACAAGCAGAACCCATTGCTCCGACCCCTAAACCCAACTATGGATGAATCAGACTCTCTCTCCGCTCCAAACTACAAGCAGAACCCTTTGCTCCGACCCCTAAACCCAACCAAGGATGAATCAGACTCCTTGTCTGTTCCTAAATACAAACAAAACCCATTTCTCAGACCCCTCAAAACCTCCAAAGATGAATCAGACTCCTTGTCAACCCCTAAGTACAAACAAGATCCTTTTCTCCGAAGCTTAACTCCCAAAGAAGATAAACCTAAAGGTTTAGAAGCTCCCAAATACAAACAGAACCCTCTCCTTCGAAGACTGAAACCTACCAAAGATGTATTTAGGTATAAGAACTTCGATAAATATCGGATTGGAGGATTTCCTTCAATTTTGTAAATTTAAACTCGACCTTAGAAATGAGTTTGTAAAAAGGGAGCAAAAAAGTAAATCCGACTCCGGCCAAATCCTGATAAAAATATTTGCAAAAAGATAAAACTCTTAATTGTTCTTTCGTTCAGTTTTGCAAATGGTGAAAATGAATCTGATTCGAGAACTTGTTATTAAAGATAAATACAAAGGAATCAATACTTATGAAATAAAGCTAATACATCGATATTACATTTACACGAACAGATTTGATTAGAGAAATTTTTCATTTTTTAAAGCACGAACCAGAAATAGCACCAAATAATAGGATATTGAATTCAAATTTGTGTTTCATTCTAGTTCTATATTAAGTACCTTGTTTGCCTTTTCAGTTTTCAAACCTTTCCTTTTATTAATAATTATTTTTTAAAGAGAAGAATTTCAAAGAACGAACCATTTTTCAAAAACTAAATTCCACTTTATTTAGTCGATTTGATTTCAGACAAAGTCCTCCGGTAAACTTTAGGGGTGTTAAAGTGGGTCAAGATGAGGTGAAATTAAGTTTACCAAATCCTAGTCAAAATCCTCTTCTTAGTAAACTTAGGAAAAATCAGGTAACAAATGTCGATGGACGGATCGGATTTTTTTTCATCGATCTAAAAAAAAGACCATCAATTACAAGAATGTAATGCAAGGAAAGTTATTTCAGAAGTGTACTCATCTTTTGTACTGCAGTGTACTGTCTCTGGGCGGTAATGTAAACACAATACGGATGTCAAAGCCTGACATGGGATCCATCTTTCACATAAAAAAAATCAATGAAATATTCTGGTCATAGGAAACTGTTATGTGAATTATCAAAATTATCAAAATTTAATGCTTTTAACCTCCTTGGATACTAAACGAACACTGATGCATCTATTCTTGTTTACAAATTCCGCCCAAAGAGAACTGGTTTCAATATGTACGGAGAGTATACACGACCGCTATTAACTTTCCTTGCATTACACCCTTGATCAATTAGAGCTTAAATTTGTACTCCATCATAGTTTCAAATTAAACTACATCAGAGTTTCAATTTGTACTCTATCAGAGTTTCAATTTGTACTCTATCAGAGTTTCAATTTGTTCTCCGTTAAAGTTTTAATTTGTACTCCATCAGAGTTTTAATTTGTAATCCATCAGAGTTTTAATTTGTACTCCATCAGAGTTTTAATTTGTACTCCATCAGAGTTTTAATTTGTAATCCATCAGAGTTTCAATTTTGTTCTCCGTCAAAGTTTTAATATGTACTCCTCAAAGCTTTAATTTGTACTCCAATAGAGTTTCAATTTGTACTCCATCAGAGTTTCAATTTGTACTTCCTCAGAGTTTCATTTTTTTCTCCGTCAAAGTTTTAATTAGTTTTTAATTTTGAAATTGCAAGCTCTAAGATTTATATTACGAAAGCTTCCATTATACTTTACAGAATTCCGACAACCCTGTTCATGTTTGTATTTATCTACTAATCTATTAAACACAGGAAATAAAGAGCAAAGACGACCTAAACCTACCAAACAGAAAACAGAATCCACTGCTACGCCAGCTGAAGTTTACAAATGATTCGGAGTTTAATGCTAATATTAATCCACCGGAGGAGGTTATCAATGATGAACAAACTGTATTCAATGGGCACGGAAAATCTGCTAAACTTATTTTGGAAACTGAAGGTAAGCCAAGGTTGTAGGGTTACTATCGATGTGCTCCAATGTACGGAAAAGGTCGTCTCCTTAGAAAGATTGATAATAACTCGTCACTCTCGTCTCTATAATCAGTGATGTCATATGAGGTTTGTATCTATCAATCTATCTGAGGAGACGACATTTTCCATATATTGGAGCGCATCGAGAGTAGCCAACCTTGAGGTAAACAGAGATCATTCAAAACATTATTACTGTCGCAAAGTAGATGCACATGATTGAACGCAAATGTCAAAAAATATTTTGTTTGAAGGTTTATAGATTTAAAGCTTATCATATTTTCAGATAACTTGAGTTCACTTTCCTTTAGTGAGCTCTTCAATATTCCCACACAAACTACTCAGGTTATTTACCAATTAGAAATCAGTATTGAATAAGCTTTGCATTAGATTTCTTTCTAATTTATGCAAAAATGACCTTAACACAGTTCTTGGCAGAAATTTATTTTCCATTGCAAATGATTGTTCTGTAAATCTTTCTGATCTTTGTAAAATGTTAGTTAAGAAACAAATGAAATATTTTGATGTCCCATTGGACCATGCATGGACAGTTCCGGTCTCACAAGAACTTTTAAATACAAGAACGAATAATTTATATGTTGAAGGATTCGATGATTACGCAATAACTGAAATGATAAAAATATGTTATGTATTGAGTAATGATCAATGACGCCTATTTGTGCATAACTTTTGAATACTTTTCTTTTTTCTTTTGTAGAACTTTATATTCAAAAATTGATTGAAACAATTTTTAACTACACCATTTATATATGCATTTATATCTGTGTGTGTGAATAGATCTTTATAATATAATAAAAAAAACACAAAAATTGATTAAACACTAATTTCCAACTAAGTATAAATATATAGGGATTTCGAAAAAAACAGTTTGTATACAAAGACTCAATTCCTTGTTTGTAATTTAAGGAAAATATTCAATTTTAAAACCTCAAATATTTTTTGTATTTATTTTTAAAAACGGCCTTTCCGACAATAAAGTAATTTTAACTTTTTAATGAAGTTATTTTGAATAAAGTTTTTTAATAATAAACTATGCCATCAGAAGAAAGAAAAATGTTACCTTTATGTCGATTTAATATGAAATATCTAGCATGAAGCTAATCTAATTTAGAAGGGTAGAACATTAAATGAAAATAAATTAATAAAATGAAATTGATAATACAAATTTTGAAGCTTAATTTTTATTTTGTTTTAGGAGAAGCTAGCGATGATGATGAAAAAACTAAAATCATTAAATATCCCTGAACAAGTAAAAAATACTTTAGAATGTTTAATTTTGAAGTTTATTATACAAATTGTTTCTGAAAGGAAAAGTTTAGGTATTTGGGTAATTTTAGATGTATTTAGGATGAATTATTAAAGCATTATTGATATCATTAGGAGGACTTTACCAGAGCTGAAAACTTTAGAATGATATATCCTTAATCCCGATTACTTAATCTGAGTATCCAATGGAAACACTTTTGATTTTCTTCTTAAACCGTCCTTTCTTGGATATGGTAGAGAAAATCAAAAACAGGTTTTTCTGAATTAGAGAGTTCCTCCCATTTCTATATATAATCTAAAGCGCAAAATTTCAAATTTATCGACTTCATATACGCGACTCTGATTGGTTGAATTTTATACATTTTTCAGGATTCAAGTACAAGATTAGATTAGGCTCGATATTTTGAAAAAGAGAGGATCACCCATTAATCTCGATATCTACCATTCTAAAGTTTTCAGCTCAGGTTTCTTTCAGTTTTCAACGTGAAAAGAAATGATGTATAAAAATTAAGCAGAAGACGACAAAAAAACTGAAATCAAGAAAATCTGATAAAATCAGAATTTGTCAACAAATCTTAGCAAATGTTTGGTTCAGAAGTATCGTTGAAACCTCAGATAGATTTAGTTAAGATTCTTTGTATAAAAATTCCATTTCCCCCAATTTCCAAATATCCCATTTTGATTGCAAATTTTTAAAAATAACTTGACTTTAATCAATAAAATTCAGGAAATCAAAAGTTTTGACCAGCTCATTCAATCAATGATAGAAAAGGTAATGGCAAAAACAAAATTTAAAAAGTGTTTTGAAATAAATAATTAATTGATTGATCTAATAGAATGGTTGATTATTATTTTATTGATTTAATTGATTATTTGATTGGTTTAATTGATTATATGATTGATTTTATTATTGATTATTTGATAGATATAATTGATGAATAGATTGATCTAATTGATTAATTAATTGACCTAATTTAATTGTTGATTGATGTAATTGATTAATTGATCAATCTAATTGGTTATTTGAGTGCTCTATTGATGTATCTGATTGATCAATCGGTATGAATCTTATTGACTAACTGATCGATCTTCTTAATTGATTGATTTCAGAGGCAGAATTTGAGCCGTGTCTCAAACATGGTTGGTTCGAACTTGAAATTGTATTCAGTCTTTCGAGATTTGAGCCGGCGGTCAATTGGAACCAGTTTTTTTTGGTTCAGTGACGAGTTTTAAATTCGTTTTTGGGCTCTGAATGATTAATTTATTGATCTTATTGATTTGTCTAATTGATTAAGTGATAGAAACTATTAGTTCTAAATTATTTTTGATATGGTTGAATAACTCAATTGATTGATTAATTGATCTAATTAACCTAATTGATTGATTAAAAGATATAATTGCTTGATTAATTTATTGATGCTGCCTAGGATGATGATGTGGTGAAGGACGAGCTTGAGGCTAACCTAGTCCTTGTGGACACCATGGTTGACAAGTTTATCAAGGTAGAGTTAGTCCTTCATTTACCAAGACGAAGAATAAATACTTCACAAAGTTTAAACTTTTTTTCTATTTCTTAATTTACATTTAACACTGTAAACATTCTTATATTCAATTCAATTAAAAATGTTTTGTTTTTCACAAAAATACAGAAAATGATTCCATGTGTCTAGTTTCTGCTAAATATTGTATTTAGAAAATAAGTGCAGTGGGACTCATAAAACGGTGGAACAGAAAGACGACTGACTGATACACGCAAGTTATGATTTATGACATACAACACAACAATTTTGCATTCTAATCCCTTTATCTTTCCAACCTAATGTTGTTAATGGACCCTTGATATTTCAAAATTAGATCACTTGATTTAACACAATTCATAGTTTGAAATATCTAAGGTTTACGACTATAAAGATTAGAAAATCAGAGTTTGTGGCAAATACTCAATTCCCTTGTTTAGGAGAATAAATCCCGGGCACAGAAAAGTTTTATGGAGCGTAAAAAGAAAACCAATCCAGTGGTCACAGGAATAATAATGATAATGCCATAAAAAATCAACAATAAAAAAAATCTCATTCTTTCCTTTTCTCTTTCTTTCTTTGAAAACGTCTTATTTTCTTATTTTTCTTGTTTTTATATCAAACTTTGATAAAAAGGTAATACTATCAATGTTTAAGAAAATGCAAAGATTTTAGAAAACATCTCTAAAAACAACCTGAAGCCAACCCCTCTGACTGAACCAGCCTCCCCCAGCCTAGGTTCAACTGAAGGTTCAGTTTCCTCAACTGATGGTTCAGAGGCGTCAACATCAGAGGTAAATAAAAATAAATATCTTCAGATTCTTCTAATAAAAAATCTAAAATGCAATGAAATCAAAAAATTTCGCACGTTTACCATAGAGAATAGAATATATATTAGAGGGGAATTTAAAGAATCTCTCGGTATGAATTTTTTCAGTCCCTTTCAGCCTGAATGGGAGTTCAAAGTGTACAAATCATGTAAATGTTCACAAATTATATGCAGTAGAGTACATTAATACAGTATGTTCCCTAGACTATCTATTTCAATTTCGAAATGTTTAAAATCATCGTTTGTAAAGTGAAAGGCATAGAGTCTATGTGAAATGATCATTAGTCAATTATGAAACCAGCCTATTTCATAATTTGGTTTTCTTTTAATATTAATTTTAGATTTTCTATAAAATGATGTTCCAGGGCCCAAAAGGTTTTATAGCATAAATATGTGAAGTACACCTGCAGTATGGAAACAGTACAACAAAATGGCCGTTTTACACTTTTTTCTAGTAAATTCCCCTCTAATAAATATTCTAATCTCTTTGACGTTTACCCATACACTTATAACAATTACGATTTTTAGGAATCTGATCTTGCTTTTGGATTCCGTCCATTGCCTGGTACAGAGGCAGTTAATGAGGAGCTAAATCTTGATCTTCCGAATGATGGACCTAAAAATATCAATGAGGATTTTGATTTTGATCTTCCTAAAAGTAGACCTGAAGATACCACTGAGGATTTTGATTTTGATCTTCCTAAAAGTAGACCTGAAGATACCACTGAGGATTTTGATTTTGATCTTCCTAAAAGTAGACCTGAAGATACCAATGAGGACTTTGATTTTGATCTTCCTAAAAGTAGACCTGAAGATACCAATGAGGACATTGATTTTGATCTTCCTAAGAGTATTTCTGAAGATACCAATGAGGACTTTGATTTTGATTTTCCTAAGAGTAGACCTGAGAACACCAGGGAGAATATAAATCTGAATCTACCTAGATCAAAACCGTCTGATTTTACAGAAAACGTAGATTTTGAACCTCCACAATATAAACAGGATCCACTGTTAAGGTAATTAAACTAAAAAGTATTTTACGTTTTCTTTTAGTAACAGATAAATATAATTGAGATTTTTTCTTTATAAAAAAATAAAATGAAAAATGTTAATTTTTTTTAGGAGTTTGAAAGGGAAAGACAAAGGAACTGATGGAAACCTTCAAGTTCCAAAAAATAATCCAAGAAAGGAAAAAAATCAGAACTTAGATGGCATCATAAACCAACTCTTTTCCACAGAAGACATGACTGAAATCAAAAGTATGCTTAGGTAAAGAATTAAATCAAATATTAAATCTTTTTTCTTAAAACTTGATTGTGTAGAATTTTGCAGATATTTAAGAATACATTTGTTTAGTAAGATGATGGAGACTAGTGTTGAGACAACAGCAGAAACTCTGGCCAACTTGTTTCAGTACAAAGGTTTGTTAATACAACGATAAAAAAAACAAAACCGGGAATATCGTCTTCGTTTAACATTTTAATAAGAATAAGCGTGTAACCGTCCATGCAAAGATGGTAAAATCCGGTTCCCAACGGTACCCTTTAAAGTTTTGTTGTATAACAATGTTGAAAGTTTTGAAATCTCATTTTTTAAACTGTGGTTTCTCTACATAAGTAACGTGCGCCTTTCTACTGCAGGAAAACATATGAAATTATCAGAATTAAACACTTTTCAGATAAAGGTTTCAAGTTTACCGTTGTAAATCGGGCATTATACTATCTTTGCATGAAAGATCACTTCAAATTACGCTTACAACTTAGTTTTAAGAGATTTTTGCAAAGTTTAATGGTCATAACTCTCACCATAATTTTTAATCAGATTACTGATAAAAATATTGATTGAAGACGTCGTTCATATCACTAGATTTTGGTTATCACTGTATCAAGCTAAATATGACCTTGCCAAAATAAGGTTTCTATTTAGAATCTGGAGAAAGAGAAGATACTGAAGAAGAGATTGCTGAAATGATCACTACAGACCCTGCAGCTGTTTCTGAGGCTTTCGCCAAATTGATCAGGTAATTATATGAATTATAAGAAGTACAAAACAATACAAAACGTTGACAATTTAAAGGGACTGTATATCTAATTTAAAGGGACTGTATATCTAATTTAAAGGGACTGTATATCTAATTTAAAGTGACTGTATATCTAATTTCAAGTAACTCTCCACTGGTAGGGTAATATACCGATGCCTATAATATATAAGATATTAAAGTCTTTTTCTTTGAAAGTTGGTTATTTTTAATTCAGAATTCTTTATAAAAGTGACTTGCGGAGTTTTGATGCTCGAACAATAGAGTAAATTGTCAGAATTAAACATTCTTAAAGCTAAAAAGCGACGATATCTTCCCCGTTATTGAAGGTTTTACAGGTACCATTGTAAATCGTACATGCACCTCCTTAAATGAAGGGTCACTTGAAATTACAAAAAAAAACAGTTTCTTTAAAGTAAGGAATTTTTCCATTGTCATTCTCCAAGTGTATGTTTGCTACAGCTCAAAATCATAAATGTTTCTTCCTTAAAATTAAATTTTTCAATATGTTTATTCCAAGTTCCAAAGTTTCTAAATTAATTTTTTCTCAAATTTTTCTTCTTTGAAAAAAGTAAAACTACCACTGTGCCTATCCAAGCCATAGTTCTCTACCACAAGATTCTAATATAAACGATATGTATTTAGTGAGAAGAGCAGATCTATAAAAGAATCAACCTCTGATGAACCTGAATTGACAGCCAGACCTACCACTGAACCTGTAACAGAAACTCCACAGAAGAAACCAGATAAAAGTTTTCTTGAAGCGCCATTTCTAGAACTAAACAAGTTTGAATCTGTAAAGGAAGAAACTGAAAAAGGTATATTCACACCAGAAGTTCCATTGAGATATGAAGATCCTCCCAAAGCTGCACAAGGAAAGCTTCTAAGGTAATTTTCTGCAAAAGTTAGAAAATTTTTGGTAAAAAAATAATATCTTGAATCTGTCAGATTTTGGAAAAATGATGAAAACCATGAAGGCAATGGACACAATAAAAACCATCATGACGACTCCTCTGCTACAGAAGTTACCACAGAACTTGCAGATGATGAACTTGAAGAACTGAAATTTGAAGAGGAGTTTGATCTTCCAGACAGTATGATGAGAAATATGCTAGAGCTCCTGGAATCCGGAGATATTACAAAGGTATAAATATATCTATATTAGAAAGCTCTTAGCTCTTATATATATATATATATATAGAATTAAATAAAGTATATATATATACTAGCTGAAGGGCCCGACGTTTCCCGTGGAAAAAAAAATTTGAAATTTTTTTTTTGAAAAACAAAAAATTGGGGGGGGGGAAATTTCCAATGTGGTTTAGCCTATAACACCCCCCGCCACCCATGAGTGTCCACAAAAAATGTCAGCCAAATCGGTCCAGCCATGTCAGGCAATGACATCCGTCTTGTCTTTACTTTTTCCACCCAATGACGATACACTGCTGTACGAAAAATGTGTACACCTCTGAAAAAGCTTTCCTTGCATTAGTACCTTGCTTATGATCTTCTTTATGTATAAGATATATTGGGGACCCTTGATGTATGCCTGTACAAAATCTATTTTAGGAAGATGTTATCGAAAGATTAATCAATGGTGGTTTCCTCCCAGTTCAAGTTACAGAGTTAGGTAAAAAAAAATGTATAACCTCGATATTTATTACTTGATTTTTTTATTTTTTACAGGAAAGATTCCAATATCTATTGGAGTAACAACAGGTAGAACTCCTTCTGAATCAACTCGATCTAAAGCCATGATGAAAAGTGAACTGAGAAAGCAGAAGAAAGAAAGAGAAGAGTTAAGCGAGGAAAGGATACGAGAACTATCACAGGAAAAGAAAACTTTGCCTTTTGACGAACTCAGAAATAGGTTTCGGAACCCAAATAAGAAACCAGTCTTCACCGAGATAGATTCATCAGATCCAGATTTTGATTTCGAAAGGTTTCCTGTTAAACCCCAAGGTAATAACTCCTTAAATGGAATGCAAGCGTGATCCTCAATGCAAAGATACTTAATTTGTTGGTGTCGTGAAACCACAATTGTAAATAAATAGTTTTTTAAATTATAAACATTGATATCTAATTCATACTTGAGCAGACAAAACTGTTAAGGGTACCGTTGTGTAACGGAAATTGCCATCTTTGCATGCAATTGGGTTACTTGAAATTACTCTTTTACAATCAATTTAATGATGGTTTTTTTTGAAATTTTCTATATGAATGATAAAAATCGTTAAACAAAGTTAGCGAGGCTTCCTTAAAAAATATCTGCTCACATGTATTTTTTAACTGCTTTTTCACTCAGGATTCAGTGATTATGAGGATTTTGGATTCAGTAAAACAGCATCTTTAGCACCACTCAGAAGGTAATATATATAAATATATATATTTATATATATTTCGGTAAAGCCAAGGAGTATAGAATATAAGGGAGAAGGAAACGACCCGGCCCGCCCTACCATATGAGTATACATGTTTTTCAGACGGTACTTAATTTGAAAAAGAGTTTTTAAAGGTTGTCTTAATTTTTTAAATGTGGTTTTTAACTATACCATAGTAAATAAACCGATTTTGTTTGGCCATATTTAGCCTAAACTTTCCCTGTTTAATGTATACAATAACCTATTCTGATTGCATGTACGTGGTATTTCATCAGACAAATATTTCTTATTCAAATAAAGTACCGTCTGCAAATATATATTCATATGGTAGGGCGGGCCGGGTCGTTTCCTTCTCCTTTATATTCCATACTCCTTGGGTAATGCTTAAATATATATATTTTTGAATAGTTTTCTTTGATCTATTTATTTTAGTCCGCTTACCAGAGGGTATACATCTAACACTGTCAAAGAACAAACAATGCTATTTAATGAGGGGAAAATGACGAATAAGGATTCCCAACACATGACTGATAACATGAAATCTATCTCCCAAACTGTAGAAAATCAAACCATGGAAATTACAACAGACTTCACTCTGTTCTACAATGACCGGATGCCCGTGAAGTCCCCCTCCTATATGTCGATGTCCATCGGTAATCATGCCTCCTCATCTTCTAACCCGTCTCTAGATACATCCCCTCATTTAACCCCTGGCACATTCCCAGGAGCTGAACAAGATGATGATAGTTTTGTTTTCCCTGAAACCTCCCTGGAATCCATCCCTGCATTTGATCCGAGATTAGGAGAGAAAACTGAGAGTTTGAAGATGAGTTCTCAAGGTTCAACTAGTCCTGGATATAAGGACGTATTCAACTTTTCCTTACCAGAAGAACCTAGGTTTGTTTCATATATTTCATAAGAAAAAAACATGCATTTTGTGCCTTTTAGGTAACTTTTTAAACATTTAAAGTGTTCTGTCAATAAATTAAAATGAATCTACATCTGAGTAACAATGATGATGAAGAAAACGATTGAATCTCTGTCACCACTTTGCTAAGGAATTGAGTTTATGCCACGAGCTTAAATTTTATAATCCCTATATGTTTGCGACCTATTGTAGGAAATCCTTGATTTTTCAAACTCAGATTTGTTGATTGCACAGAATAGTTAGTTTAAAATATCAAAGGTCTACGACATCGGGTTGCAAAGATATTGGGATTAGAAAATTAGAGTTTGCGTCATAAACGAAATTCCTTTAAAGCACAATTTTCCGGAAGTTTCACTTATAATTATGTCAACATTCCTTTTAATTTAGATTCCCTGGCTCTATTGAAAGTATTGTGAATGAAGACCCGTTCCAGTACAACTTCCAAACATTAAACACCAGCTCTTCTGAGTTTAATCCCGAGGAAGGGTTCGGACTGAAGTATCTTCCTCCCAGGTTGGATCCTACCCCTACTCCAGGATACCATCCGTCCCACCAGTATATACGATATGGTAATCAACCAGAAAACACCCAATCCAAGGTTCCTCTTGAGTTTGCTGAGGTTGTATCTGCAAGAACTGCTGAAAGAACTCCTACACAAGAACCAGAGTTTAATAACCCCGGTCAGGAAAGATATAAATTTGCCAAGATAGCATACACTAAGTATGGTTCTAATCATGAACCTGTTGACACTAGACAGAATGCTCCTACAGCTAAACCTGTAATATCCAGCTATCCGTCTACACCACATCCTTCACAATCTCGCTCTGTTTACGGGGATAAATTACAGCCAGGTACTTCTAAAATTATAACTTTACAGGGAAGGTTATGGAATATTACTTTACCAACTTTTATGCAACAAATGTAGCTTGGCAAGATCACAATGAATCAATTTCTTGATTTAGTTATTGAGTTTGATTCTGCTCCTCCACATCCTGACCATCCTCCTCAACCTTCCCCTCATCATGAGGGTCCTCAGGTTCATCAGTTGGATCCGTATCCTCCCCCACCCCCTCTTCATCATAAGGACCCTCAACAATTTGAATCGTATCCTCCATATTCTTCTCAGAAGTACAACTACATCAAATCATTGCCAACTATATCTTCTCCGCCATTAAACCGGTAGGAACACAGTCATTTTCTTCGATGCATTCATATATAGTTAATATTTCATAATATTTTTAATTTTATTTACGATGTACCTTATACGACGATTTTTTACCGCTATAGGTGTCACTCTCCCAAACGAAAGCTCCGGAATATCGAGAGCCGATACACTTAGCGGCCAAATAATCGATGTTTAAAGTACATTGCTTACATTTAAAAAATTTAAAACATTATGAAATATAAACTATTTACAAATGCATCGAATTGAATTCGACATGAATAGGTTATATTGTAATACCTGAATGATAAATTTAAAATTTAGTTAAATAAGGCAACTCCGTGAATTTGTATTGGTCTTACGCTCTTTGGTATTAGTCGTTTTTAACCAGGGAGTAAGGAATAGAAGGGAGATATAACTGACGCGGTTCGCCCTTCCATATGGTTATACATGCTTTGCAGACCGGGTACTCCATTTGAATAAGATATATTTGTCTGATGTACATTTACTACTTATACAATAACCTATTCTGAATATTTCTTATACAAATGGAGTACCCGTCTGCAAAGCATGTATAATCATATGGTAGGGCTAACCGCGTCAGTTATATCTCCCTTCTGTTCGTTACACCCTGTTTTAACCCTTTCTCCTTATATACGCAACAGATAAAATTGAAATTACTAGCGATAGAAATCGAATTCAATTCTATTTTAGCTTATATCCTTTTTAATTTTTAGCGAACACTCGATCTCTTAAAAAAGCTTGAATTGTTGCAAATGAAAGGAGAAAGCCTAATTTTATAATAAATGCTCATGTTCTAGGTATGGATCAGATTGGAGATATGATCATGATCCTAACTCTGGATATCAAACCAAACAATCATATTCTCCACAGTATTATCATCAGGAACAAGATTATCAATACTATCCTCAGTCCTCCTATCCTAATCCACAATCCCATTATCCTCCATCACAGTACTCCCAACCCTCATATGCTGGATATCCGTCCTACGGAGAGGAATATGTTGAAGCATATTTAGTTCCTCATGTTCCCTATTCATCAGACAACAGTTTCAGACAGTATAGGAAACATTGGCATTTAGAAAATATTTATAAATAACATTCATAATCATACGAGTTCTCCAACCATTTGTAGTTATTTGCTTTGTCTGTTGATTGGGTCGCTTGTGTGTGTCCAGGATGAATATTTAAGCCTATGACTATTGAACGGACCAGACCAAACTTAAATTTTTTAAATTAGGAAAAATAATGTACGAAAAAATATTTGCGGAAAAGCAACATTTGAAATCTTAAATCATTAATTAGAAAGACGTATAATAGAAGCTTATTATTTGGGAATGTAGGGATGAGAAAAAAGTAAAACTTAAATTGTATAATTACAATATCTTTGCAACCTGATTGTGTTAACCTTTGATGTTTCATACTAAGCCTATTTGATATAATTGAAATCTCAGTTTAAAATGTAAAAGGCATCAATATCGAATTGATAAAATGCGGGGATAAGAAAAATAAGAGTTTGTGGCAAGAACTCAATTCCTTCTGAATATAAAATACATGTAATAAATGAAAATGAATGAAAGGATGATACCCGACCTGCCTGATCCAACAACTAAGAAACCCTTTGCTTATGAACCTCCCCCACTTCCTTCAATTACAGGTACAGTGTAGTTGACAGTTTACTAATATAGACTTCTTTACATCTAATCTTGTGTGGAGCTGAGATGTGATTTTAAAAGCTTAAACCCGAGTAAACCCCAACTCGGGCGCAGATAGAACCCAAGTCAAGATTGGTTCTGATTCGACCAATGGGAGACTGTTAAGCAAGCTTTCTCTCTGTAGCAGACAGAATGCCGTCAGATCTGCTGTGACAAGGAGATGTAAATTTTGAAAATTCAAACTTTTTGTAGATACATTGTTTACATAGTATGTTTATTTTATATAATTAATAAAACTACAGGGTGTCTCAATATACGTGGGAATTTAATTTTATACATCCCTTGTAATCTATACACAGCTGCTTTATTATTATTGAACAATTTTAGCTATATGTGGTCTGCCATTTTATGCATTAACGGAACTTAATTTTGGACGGAAATATAAAAATTCTTAAAAGATTTCAATATTTTTTAACATAAATAGTTCTACACATGTAATACCTCCAACAATTTGTTCAATGCATATTCATTCGGACAATCTTTACCATTGGATGCACACTGCACCTTTTTCATGATAAGCGGAATTTTTTAAACCATAGCTTTCTGTCCGCCTTCCACAAGAGTGTTTTTTCTATTTAAATTGAACAGATTTATTAAAAAACAAAATTCACAAAAAATTAGTAGCAACTAGCTCTGAAGATCTATACTTGTTGTTTTAGGTCATCATTCTGTAGATCAAACAATAGAAGATATTCACACAGCATTTATAAACGGGGATCCATACAGTAGTAGAGAAGCATAGAGCAGGATTCTGTAAAGTTTGATTAACAGAGGTTGCAATCTTAGACGCAACCAGGGAAGGGGGGACTCCCCCCCCTGGTTGCTATAAAAATAAGACAATCAATCTATCCAATTTTTATCCATTTTATAACATTTTTATGTTCCATAGTTTACTGTTTAATGGACCCCAATTCAAAGCGAACATACGCAAGTACAATCGGGATAACATTGTGTAAGTGGATGTTTCATTGTATGCATTAAATGATAAATCTTTTATTACGTGTAAGTTGTAACCCTACCTTTATAATGCATAATCAGATAATCTATCTCACTAATCAATTTTTTTATTGGATACCTTTTACTTATATTAGAATCTTCAAATACGCCAAAACTTAAATCAAAATCCTAGAAGCCAACGAACTTTATACCAAAAATAATAAATCTCTTTTTTAGTCCATCACTATAGTTATCAGGCATATTGTTTACTACAAAAAATCTTCTTTTAATGGCATTAGTTGAAACATTTCTTTAGTATTAAGCATCCGTGCCATTTTAATGTGCAATGTATTGTTTTCTTTATTTTGTAACCTGATTTATTTTAACCTGTTTATTGTTTATCTTTAAATATATATGCATTTAGAGTTTTAAAACTTTTAAGAAAAAAAAATGTGGAATGGATTTTATCATTTTATTAAAAAATATATTTTTTTCAACTTATATTCTAGGAGATTCATAATTTATCAAATATTCCATTGGAGTAGGTACCATAGCAGCGTATATAAAATCCAGAAATGAAGAAACTCTGAAAAAATATATAACGTATTTTTGTATTTTATGTTTCAATTTACTTATGTATAGACTTATGTTTCATATGTTAAGCTTCATTTAGCTTTGTTTGATGAATTTTCATGAGAAATCAAAACAAAGCTAAGTTTTTTTTTCTAAACATCTTAAACCACGCGAAAATAAACGTCTGTGGGCCTTTACTTTGATCATGATAAAGTCTGAAAACAAAAGTTGTCATCTATTAAAAAAAGGGAATTAAAAAAGTTGATTACTTGCATGAAATTATTCAATTTTTATAAAATTAAGTAAATTTTTATACCAAATTTTGAATGAAAGATTCAAGTCGTAACCGGGTTTAATCAGATACAACTTTGACATCCTTCATTTGCTATTTTGGGTGTGACGTGAACACTTTCAAATACCTTGCAAACATTGATGGATATGGTCCTTCACACGTGGAAACTCCGAAACTAGTTGCACCAACAAGAACAAACTTGTTAGTTCCATTATTCACCACCAGGGGTCCACCGCTGTCTCCCTAAAAATACTAACATTATAAGCCTAGAATAGAAATATGGCTTGTTCGCGAATTTTAAAGAGGGGTAAGCTATAATTAATTCAGCATTAGATTAGTTCAATTTTTATTTCAAAGTTTAAGAAAAACAGCTGAAAGGAATCTACAAAATGGTTTATCAACGGAAATTCTCAAAAACCTTATAATTTGTCTGTCAATATATAACTAAAAGTAAAAACAGAACCGAATTTTTTAAATTTAAATTATTAGTTCAAGGATAAATCCCAAGAAAATACACTGAAAAATAACTGCAGCATGGTTTAAACCTTTAACATGTCAGGGGCGTATACAAGGGGGGCAGTGCCCCCTAGTCCTGTAAAGAGGGGGGGCATAGCCCCCTACCCTAGAACTCAGAGCTATCACACTTTTAAAATTTGAAACTGAAGAGTGAAGAACATAGAAAATTAGTTTGTTGTTTTTTCTGCTAGTTTTGTCTGAAGGAGAGATAAAATAGTACTTGGTGTTTGGACTGTATGTGTACCTTAAAAGTATCCTAGAAGCCAAATGTTTTGAATTTACAGTTCAAATATCTCCCCCCCCCCCCATAGGAGGGGCATACATAATTTCGCCCCCCCCCCTTAGATTTATCTCTGTATACGCCCTTGTTGAGTTTTAGATCTATTAGAATGCATAGTTTAAAAAGGTCTAGAAAATTTGGCTGCAAAGATTCAAAATTTAGAAAATTAGAGTTAGAGGCGAGCTATCTGTTCCTTTATTCTATTAATTACAGCCACGTTTATCTTTTTATTGTAATATTTTTATTTGTTTAAATATAAAAAACATTTTCTAAAAAAAGCATATTATGACCTGGCAAGTTGTTTCTATTCCTAGAGGACCCTTGAAGGTACAAATCATCCTGTCTGTGATTGGAAAAGGTGAATATTTAATACAAACATCCTAAAACAAAAACAACCTTAACAGCAAGTGTACTAAAAACATTAGGAAAATTGAGATTTTGTGTACTTAAAAAATGATTCAAATTCAAAAACTATAGAGTACGTGTAAAAGTAACTGTACAGTGTAAAACATGTGGGAATTTAGGGTTTCCAGTCGTAATTACGTTACGCGTAATTACGCGTAACACTTTCTTTCACTTACGCAGGAGCATTACGCGTTTATTACGTTTACGAAAGAAAGTCTAGTTTCGCGTAATTAAGGCGTAATTACGCGAAATTACGTAATACGAAACAATTCCGTAATAAATAAAGTACATATTAATTCTCAGAAATAATTATAGCGGGACAGTATGCGTAAGGGTATGCCCGCTACAACCATGTCAAAAATATTTTGACGATTTTATTGACATTTTTTCAAACTAGGAAGGTAAACTTGAGAAAGTAGGTTGAAATATTAACAAGTCGTTGAAAATTGAAAATTTATAGATTATGTATTTTTTTTGATAAAAATAAATTGTTGGCCCTTTGTTAAACTTTTTAGTTGTCGAACGTAAAAATTACATCAACATAGTATTGGCTGAAATTTCTGATTCAACTTGCGTGACATTATTTTCCTTGTATGTTAGTTTTATTTAAATTAAAAGTTAAAACTTCAAAATTTCATAGACGTAATTATTGCAAAATTTCGCAAGATTACTTTGTAGAAATTACGCGAAATTAAGGCGTAATTTCGCGAAATTAAAGTTTCGCTAATTACGCCTAATTAATACAAAATTTCGCGAAATTACCTCGTAGAAATTACGTGAAATTAGGCCGTAATTATAGTTTCGCTTATTACGCGCAATCATTACAAAATTTCGCGAAATTACGTTGTAGAAATTACGCGAAATTGCGCCGTAATTACCCATAATTATAGTTTCGCTTATTACGAGTAATCATTACAAAATTTCGCGAAATTACGTTGTAGAAATTACGCAAAATTGCGCCGTAATTTCGCGAAATGGATATTTTCCCAATTACGCGTAATCCTGCGAAATTACACGAAATGAAAATTATTACGCGTAACTGAACGTAATTACGCGTAAGAGAATAATCTATTACGTTGGAAACCCTAGAATTATACAAAAGAATATTTAAGCACATGTTCTAAATAGTTAAATGCTAAAAAAGGTTTTTGTATATGTACTGTACTACAAGGCTCAAGGTATTTGAGTACAATTACATAACAGAATATTAATAAACTGTAAGGTCAATTAGAAAAGAAAATATACGGAATAGTTTACTACTCGAAAAATTCCGCGTGCATGAACATTGAATGTAAACATTGTACATGAAGATACCTGGGGAAGAATGTACTGTTCAGCCTCTTTCAATATCTCTGTAGTGGTAGGTCGAACCAGATTTTTGCTTTGTTCATCATAACCCCAACCAGTGATTATAGATGTCCTATTGGTACAAAAAACATGGTTTATATTTTTACTTGTAATTTTATGATCTCTCTGGGAAAAACGTGTTTTATTTGTTCAAAGAAGCAAATAAGTAAAACATTGTCGCCCCAATTTTTTTTTTGTAAATTTCGTGTAAATTTTTTTTTAATATTTTAAAATAATTGAAATAAATAAATGAAATAAATATATGTCTGGTTTTATGTTATTACATTTTTAGCACATTTAACATAACCTTGAGTTATTTTTTTCGACAATCACTGTACACTGTACACTGTACACTGTACAATGTACAATGTACACTGTACACTGTACAATGTACACTGTACACTGTACAATGCACACTGTACACTGTACAATGTACAATGTACCGTGTACAGTGTACAGTGTACACACACATACCTGTATCCCCAATCATATTCGTCCTTAGGAAGGCATACTGGTCGTAGAGAAGCAGAATACTCAACAGGGGTCTAGAGTAAATACAGGGTTTCCCACAAAGAATGAGGTTTTAATGACGAACTATATAACTATTTAAATTTTAATTGACAATAAATAATGGGTCATGATATAATATCAGTTTGCAGTAAATAGCCGCAAATTATGAATTATAAAAACATAAACAGAATAAACATCTTATAGTTGTACGTCTCCGAATTCTCATTCTTTGTGGATAACCCTGGATATCAAGATTCAACATAAAAGCAATAAGTGGTTTAGCGAAATAAACATAGAATTACATCATTTGAACAGTGCACACATATAGATAAAAGACATTTGCAATGCTCTAAAAACGGTGTAAAATTGGTAAAATAGAAGGGATGATTTTGTTTGTAACAACCTCAAATTGAAGGAGGGCTAAATCTCCATGAAGATAATGTTCATCATAGGTTGGAAACCTAAATAGTATATAGTATATATATGTATATGAAAAACATAGAAATATATAATGAACATAAATTATGTGTATATTTAATTAAATGGATGATAATCTAAAGAATATGGATGATAAATAATGGATATGAATCTTTTTGGAATATGGATACATGTCTAAAGAATATTGATGATATATAATGGATAATGGATTATGTATATCTAAAAATATGAAGCATACATAATGGATGATAAATTAAAGAATATGGATAATATATATTGAAGAATATGGATAATATATAAAGGATAATGGATAATATAAAAAGGATAGTAGATAAAAAATATTGAAGAATATGGATAATATATAAAGGATAATGGATAAGAAGAACCTACCTAACAATCCTTTTTAGTTTACGGAAAATATTCTTAGTTTCATTGAATATTTTAACATTATGATCGGATAGACTGACTGTCACTCGTTGAAAATGGTTCCTGAAAAATGTTCATTTACCATCAACATTATATTTTTGTATGCATAAATTTATTTTTTAAACTTTTTTGGTTAGACATTTAAATTTGTTCTTAGGATTAAAATGTTTTAATCTAAAAGTTTATCTTGTACGTATACTGCAGACCAAATAGATTATCAAGTACAATAGGTGGCAACAGAGAAATGGACCAATTATGCACAACGTCACAAACGTCAAATATGACAAGGAAACAACATTTTCTTCCATGTTTTCCAAGATTAAGTAAAAAAGTGTAAAAACAGAACATTAAGCACACAAAATTCCACTTATTTCACTGTAAGGTAAGTACTTTATTATCACTTTTATTAATAATTTAGTCGGACGCATTAAACTGTTGACACTTGTGACGTCAGAATACAGCTGTACTGAGAGTGTACAAACTCATACGTTGCCATCTATTGTACTTTTTCCTGCAGACTAAATATGTTTCTCTCTACTTAATTTAGCATGGACTTCTAGATCTACTGAAGGACTGTAATCGTTGATAACTATGTTGGCAAGCTTTTATTTATTTTCAAAGTGTCCCGTAAAATAAATATTTTCGTTCTAATTTTAACAAAAAACCATTGGAAGTAGGATATTTTGCTCACAATTTAAATAAAACATTGGAAGTAGGATATTCTGCTCACAATTTAAATAAAACATTGGAAGTAGGATATTCTGCTCACAATTTAAATAAAAACATTGGAAGTAGGATATTCTGCTCACAATTTAAATAAAACATTGGAAGTAGGATATTCTGCTCACAATTTAAATAAAAACATTGGAAGCAGGATATTCTGCTCACAATTACAAAAAAAACTATTGGAAGCAGGATATTCTGCTCACAATTTAAAGGGAGTGACCGGCTATGTAAGGTAGTTGAACTGAGTACGCAGTGTTTTCGAAAACTTCTTTCGGATTCATTTGAGACATATTACACTTTTTAAAGATCGGTAAATCCTGGGTTTGTGTGCAAAGCCGACGTTCAATACTCCTACTTTGGGGGTGGATACGCTTTCAGAATTAGTTTTTTTTATTATTATATAACGACGACATAAAATGTAAAAATATTGTACAATAAACTACAGACGTCATGTTTAGGAACATTTTGAGAAAATAAAAATTAATCTTATCATTGAAAATAAGTAATCTTGTTCAATTATTAGTTTCTATTATCTCATTATTCTGGTTTCTCATTATTCACAAAGATGTTCGCAGATTTTCTATAATTATTATTGAAAAGACGACATTTAAAGAATTTGAAGAAATCTGCGAATAAATTCAAAGAAAATTAGAAATTCAATTTATTAATGAAAACGAAATTTTAGCATTGGTTTATTGACAAATTTCTTTTGTGAAATATGTTCCTAGCCATCTAATGAGATTACTGTATAATTTTTACTTTATTTTTCGTTGTCGTTATTTAATAATTAAAAAAAACTAATTCTGAAAACGTATCCACCCCCAAAGTAGGAGTTTGAAACGTCGAATTTGCGCTCAAACTCTGGATTTACAGATCTTTAAAAAGTTTAATATGTCTCAAATGAATCCGAAAGAAGTTTTCCACAACACTGCATACTCAGTTCAACTACCTTACAATACATAGCCATTCACTCCCTGTAAATAAAAACATTGGAAGTAGCATGTTCTGCTCACAATTTAAAGAAAACCATTGGAAGTAGGATATTCTGCTCAAAATTTAAAGAAAACCATTGGAAGCAGGATGTTCTGCTCACAATTTAAAAAAAACCATTGGAAGTAGGATGTTCTGCTCACAATTTAAAGAAAACCATTGGAAATAGGATGTTCTGCTCACAATTTAAAGCAAACCATTGGAAGTAGGATGTTCTACTCACAATTTTTAAAAAACCATTGGAAGTAGGATGTTCTACTCACAATTTAAAAAATCATTGTAGGATGTTCTGCTCACAATTTAAAGAAAACCATTGGAAGTAGGATATTCTGCTCACAATTTAAAGAAAACCATTGGAAGTAGGATATTGTTCTGCTCACAATTTAAAGAAAACCATTGGAAGTAGGATGTTCTGCTCACAATTTAAAGAAAACCATTGGAAGTAGGATATTCTGCTCACAATTTAAAGAAAACCATTGGAAGTAGGATATTTTGCTCACAATTTAAAGAAAACCATTGTACCTGTATTGTAGATCTATACATAGTCCCTTTATTGTACTTGTATTGTAGATATACACATAGTCTCTTTATTGTACCTGTATTGTAGATCTACACATAGTCCCTTTATTGTACCTGTATTGTAGATCTACACATAGTCCCTTTATTGTACCTGTATTGTAGATCTATACATAGTCCCTTTATTGTACCTGTATTGTAGATCTACACATAGTCCCTTTATTGTACCTGTATTGTAGATCTACACAATGCGCTGCGGTTAGGACCCAGTTCTCATTAATCAATGATCCTCCACAGAAATGACTTCTATCCAACCACATGGATATCTAGATATTTAAATTATTTCTATCCAACACATCGATATCTAGATAGTTAAATTGTTTCTATCCAACACATGGATATCTAGATCATTTAAGTTATATTAATTAATGGATATTTAGGTATATAATTTGTTTAATTAATAAATGGATATATATCTAGATAGATCATTTGTTTAATTGATTTATAGGTATCTAGATAGAGAATTTGTTTAATTGATTAAAAGATATCTAGATAGATCATTTATTAAATAGAGTAAAATAATGTTGAGAAAGTTCTCGTGTTTTTTTGCTCTCTGTACCTGCCACGGATACTCATTTGTATCTGTTTCATTTCCATACAATACTCTTCCCAGATCTTTTCCTTCTAGCATTCTAGCTCTTTCCTAAACATTACAATATTCTTCCCAGATCTTTTCCTTCTAGCATTCTAGCTCTTTCATAAACATTACAATATTCTTCCCAGATCTTTTGCTTCTAGCATTCTAGCTCTTTCCTAAACATTACAATATCCCAGATCTTTTCCTTCTAGCATTCTAGCTCTTTCCTAAACATTACAATATTCTTCCATCCTTCTCTTCCAGCATTCTAGCTCTTTCCTAAACATTACAATATTCTTCCATCCTTCTCTTCCAGCATTCTAGCTCTTTCCTAAATATTACAATATTCTTCCCAGATCTTTTCCTTCTAGTATTCTAGCTCTTTCCTAAACATTACAATATTCTTCCCAGATCCTTCCTTTCTAGCTTTCTAGCTCTTTCCTAAACAATATCCAATATCTTTAATTGCAACAAAATGTCATTGACCTTAATATTTCAAACTATGAATTCTGTTAGATCAAATAATCTAAGTTTGAACTATAGACTATCAGGTTGCAAAGTTATAGAGATTAGAAATTTGAGTTTGTGGCAAAGACTCAATTTCTTTACCTGCCATGGCGAATGGTTTGTGAGCCGAGGAAAACTAGGTCTGAAAAATGATGAATATTCAAATTAAGTGTTGAAAAAAAAACAGCTGATCTAACAAATCTAATATCTATTAAGATATAGATATATTTGATATCTATCTATTAAGATATGGATAGATTTGATATCTAACTATTAAGATATAGATAGATTTGATATCTATCTATTAAGATAGATAGATTTGCTATATATCTATTAAGATATAGATAGATTTGATATCTATCTATTAAGCTATAGATAGATTTGATATCTATCTATTAAGATAGATAGATATATAAAGATGTATATAAGAAGATATATAAATATCCAGGTTCACTCTAACCATCGCTGGTTGTTTTGAATGAAGGACCCCTGTATCCTGTATCCCCTGTATCGACCCTGTTTTAGACAAGACAGGGTCGATGTTCTCTCCAGCAGCGGTTAAGTTTTCTTTTTTCAAGATAATAAAGAAAAATGATGGAAATCAAATTAACTTTAAAATCCACATTTGGTATTTTTCAGTTGTTTTCATTTTTTGTACCCCTGTACTTACTTGAGAGCCTCCAGTTCTATTTCTCCGAGCCCCGAAATATCCTTTAATCTTACTTACTTATAGATATCCCTCTTGAGAGCCTCCATTCTATTTCTCTGAGCCCCGAAATATCCTTTAATCTTACTTACTTATAGATATCCCTCTTGAGAGCCTCCATTCTATTTCTCCGAGCCCCGAAATATCCTTCAATCTTACTTACTTATAGATATCCCTCTTGAGAGCCTCCAATTCTAATTCTCCAAGCCCAGAAATATCCTTTAATCCCTTGGAGGTTTTCTCCTTTGCTTCTTCCTGCGCCTTCGTTACTTGTTTCTAGGCACAATTAAACAGGATTAATCAAAACCGTAGACTCTTTCTGAAATATAGCAACCCCCCGTGAACTCCCCGCCGCTCCTTCTGAAATATAGCAACCACCCGTGAACTCCCAGCCCCTCTTTCTAAAATATAGCAACCACCCGTGAACTCCCCGCCCCTATTTCTAAAATATAGCAACCACCCGTGAACTCCACGCCCCTCTTTCTAAAATATAGCAACCATCCGTGAACTCCCCGCCCCTCTTTCTAAACTATAGCAACCACCCGTGAACTCCCCGCCCCTCTTTTTAAACTATAACGACTACCCGTGAACTCCCCGCCCCTCCTTCTGAAGCAACCACTCGTGACTATCTAAACCTCACCTTATCCAAGAATAGAATAATCACGAGAAGTTGCTATCTTCTCTAGAACTTTTCAATATTGTTTTGAACAATAGGCGTAATTATAAATGACCCTCCATGCAAGGATGACAATACCGATTCACAACGGTACCCTTAAAAGCTTTGGTTGTTCAAGTATAAATTTGATATTAATGTTTATAATTTTAAAGACTGATTAGTTTCAATTTTTGTTACTCTACAAAAGTGGCATGCGGATTTCTAGTTCTACCGTTGGAAAACGTAAAGAAATTATTTTACAAAGACGACAATATCTTCCGCATCAGATTAAGGTTTCAAGGGTACCATTGTGAATCTGGAATTACCATTTGAGCGTGGATGTTTACTTTAAATTACGCATATAGTCCCTTTAAGATAATTATCTGCTTAAAACTTACCAATATATCCTCCAGCGTTACAGGTTTATTTTTTTTCCTCAGAGTTATTTTTCCTATTTTATTCCTATACAAATACATTATTATTATAAACTGGAATTATTTGTTTCTGTAAAACAAAATTGTCAAAACAGCTAAACCGCGCGATCAGGCTCAATTTTTGTTGGTATCTCACTTGACGGACAGGGTCAGTCGAAATTGAAAAATGTTGCCAAGAAAATAAGTTTTGAAAAAATCCCTCGTTGTAAAATAAAAATTAGTTTTATGATTTACGAAAAAATATCGACTTGAAAAGCAACATTTAATTGCAATATTTTTTGCTAGAAGAAAAGTAACATCCACATAATTCATGATAAAGAAACATAAAACGGGAGGTTTAAAACTTACAAGGACGGATTCTTTTCTCCACAAGGGAAGGTTCCATTGTACGTAGATTCTTCAGATTCTATCCTAGCTGTTCTTACTTCACTACAGGAGATCTAGAGAAAACATTCATTTATTCATTTATTCATTTATTCATTTATTCATTTATTCATTTATTCATTTATTCCTTTATTTATTTATTCATTTATTCATTTATTCATTTATTCATTTATTCATTTATTCATTTATTCATTTATTCATTTGTTCATTTATTCATTTATTCATTTATTCATTTATTCACTTATTCATTTATTTATTTATTCATTTATTCATTTATTCATTTATTTATTTATTCATTTATTCATTTTTTTATATATTCATTTATTCATTTATCCATTTATTCATTTATTCACCTATTTATTTTTCAATTATTCATTTATTCATTTATTCTTTTATTCTTTTATTCGTCTTTTTGTCTTTTCATCTTTTCATTTATTCATTTATTCATTTATTCATTTTTTTATCTATTTCTTTATTAATTAATCCTCTCATCCTTTCACCTATTCATATCTGAGTGATACCAAATTATTTTCGAACCTGAGGGATGAAAAAATATATCTATTTCTGAGAAATACCAAATTTTAATCAAACCTGAGTGATACTAATAAAATATATCCTAATCAGAGTGATACCAAAATATATCTATATCTGAGTGATACCAAAATATATCTATATCTGAGTGATACCAAAATATATCTATATCTGAGTGATACCAAAATGTATCTATATCTGGGTGATACCAAAATATATCTATATCTGAGTGATACCAAAATATATCTATATCTGAGTGATACCAAAATTTATCTATATCTGAGTGATACCCAAATATATCTATATCTGAGTGATACCAAAATATATCATTTATTCCAAACTATATCTATATCTGTGTAATAGCAAACAGTATCTCTATCTTCGAGTGATATCAAAATGTACCTGAATACTTTTTATGAAATTGTTTTGCACTTTATCATTCTTACTCACTTCATTGTGAATTTCATAATGAACGTGCTATAAAGTAATCATCGTACTTAAAAGTTAAAATAGCTGTACATTATAGCACGTGTGCTGTACATTTTTAAATGAATATCAAATTGAAATCAACTTTATCTTTTACCTTTTGCTTTATTTCGAAGCTTATTTGATTTAAAAGAGCGATTAAAATAAGACAAGTTTACAAATGTTTTATAAAATTACCTATGACGCTATTATTTTGGCACGACATGCTATAAAAGTTTTTGGACTCAAAGGTTCTCGCATTTTTAGATTATATTTTGTCCCTCGCTAAAGCTCGGGTCAAAATTAAATATAAAAAGGCTTGAACCTTTTAGAAAATATCTGTCCAAAAAACTTTATAACACTGCGAACCAAAATAACAGTGTTATAATTAGTTTGCCTCTGAGTGATACTGAACTAAATTTACACATGAGTGATACTAAACTGTACATGAGTGATACCAAACTGTACATGAGTGATACAAAATTATATCTGAGTGATACCAAACTGTACCTGAGTGATACCAAACTGTACCTGAGTGATACCAAACTGTACCTGAGTGATACCAAACTGTACCTGAGTGATACCAAACTGATATCTATATTCTCCTCCCTGTGTTTGAACTAGAAGAGTAATATCCTGCCCTCTCTCTACTTCAACCAAAGTAACCTGAAATTTTATCAAAATCAAAGTAAATTAAGCTATTAACTAATCCAAACTCTTCAATATGTTCAAATTTTGTTTATCTTCAGTCAAACATTAAATTTTGAAAATAGGAAACTTTTTGTGGTGGTTAAAATTCGGCGTGTTCCCAACAAATAAAAAATATGTATTTATAAAATATAAATATTATATAAATATACATATATTGTCGGTACTGTTTCTAATAATAAGAAAAAGCAAAAACCGCTTTAATTGATGATCTCTGTATGTAATTAAAATGTATTTAGATGGTTGGGCACTATGGACTAGGGTTAATTTGAATTCGATCGAATACCCGTCCTTTGTCGACCAGGTTTTATCTGGCGCGGCCAGACGTTTTTACAGTAGCAGGCATATAATAGGCCTAGTTGACCTACCTTAGCTTAGCTTAGTGTATGGGGTATTAATAGATCTAGTTCTTCGGTAGAATTTAAAAAGGGAGAAGTAGATGGATTAGGTTTGGATAGTTGAACTACTTCTCAAGCGAACATAAGAGCAGTAGTTCAACTATCTTCAACTTTTTCAACTACATATCTCTTTTAACTAAAACCGAACATTTCTTCATTAAAACTCTATAGCGAACTTTTCCTTTTTTTAGAAACTTTTGGGTCCGCTCCCAAACAAGCTGTTTTTAATTAACAAAACCTTTGAAAAACCATTATCGTGTCATGTCTAAAAAATGTATTTACCTCTCCACTCCTCTGTCCGCACATTTGACCGCTAGGCTCCTTCCCTCCCATCACTGTAAACCTTAGAAGAAGAAAAACATTTCTCTTTGATTTATCGTTATAAATGTTTGTCTGCATTAACCACTGGTCAATCTCAGCTAAACCCCAATATTTCTTCGGTCAGTGTAACTGCAGATTATTGCAGTACGCACCAAAAGCTAAGTAAATTTCTTTAAAAAAAGCCCATATGTGTCTAAAACGTAATTGCTGAACTATCTTTCATACATCTGTACGAAGTGTAGTTGAACCAGCCGTAACTAGTTTTTTCTTCATAAATTTCTATCTTTGATGTGTTATCAAAGGATGTGTCGGTAAAGTTCCACGTTGGAATAAGAAAATTCACGAAAAATACTTAAAAATTGGACCAAAAAGAAAAGAAAATATGGCAAGTTTGCAGAACATAATGTACCCTTACAATCTTTTTTTTAATCTTTTGTTTATCGTACCATACCATCCATACCATACCATACCATACCATCCATACCATACCATACCATACCTGTCATGAACACAAGATCCGGACTTCTCAGACATTTCAAGTGTCAAGATATCTATTCTGTAAATAATAATAATATCAATATTAACACTAATAATAATGATAATAATAATAATAATAATAATGATAAAAATAATAAAAATAATAATAATAATAATAATAATAATAATAATAATAATAATAATAATAATAATATAAAAACCTGATGAAACAAGTATTTGGTGAGGTTTTCACGGTGTACGGGCAGTAATGGCTTGTGTTGTCTCTCTAAATAATATTTAAAAACTTACATAAATTAAATCAACAAGAAACTAAAATATGAATATTACCTGCGGCCATTTTGCATTGTAGAAATATCCGAATTTTCCCCTGAGTTGTTCTCCACACTTGCCGTTGTTTATGTGTAAACAGCAGACACCCTTCAATCAGGATCAGAGATAAGAGAGTTACAGAGATCGATTAACACGGATAATATGCAATATTTTTCACAGCATGTTCTCTTGTGTACAAGTACTGTACACGACCAATCAGGAGACATCTGTATTCAGGGATATTTAAGGATCCTTTGAATAGGAAATGCAAAATCTTTAAAATAGACAATATATTCATAAACGTTATGTCTTAAGTTTAAAATTGGAGTATTTCTTTAAAAGTTGTAAAACTTAACCCTTGAATGTAACAAATGGCCGTGAGATGTCAGTCAAAAAACATTACATGGAACCGTAGCATGGGACACTACAGGCATGCTCAGCGTATCCAGGTAGAGATGTATGAGCAGTCTGTGTAGTCTGTGATCAGGATTATTGAAGGGATTGTTTGAGATTGGGTAATTTGAAAGAGGTAATAGCATAGAGAATAGAATATATAGAGAGGAATTAAAACAATCTCTCGGTATGAATTTTTTCAGTCCCTTTCAGCCTGCAAGGGAGTTCAAAGTGTACAAATCATGTAAATGTTCACAAATTATATGCAGTAGAGTACATTAATACAGTATGTTCCCTAGACTATTCATATCAATTTCGAATTTTTTAAACTGTGAAATAAACTTTATAATAAATTAGGTGAATAAAAACATCATTTGATTTATAGTTATAACGGAAAATGTGAAATGATCAGTGGTCAATTATGAAACCAGCCTATTTCATAATTTGGTTTTCTTTTAACAATAATTTTAGATTTTCTATAAAATGATATTCCAGGGCCCAACAGGTTATATAGCATAAATATGTGAAGTACACCTGCAGTATGGAAACAGTACAACAAAATGGCCGTTTTACACTTTTTTCTAGTAAATTCCTCTTTATATAGTCTATTCTCTATAGGTAATAGTTTCAGCAAAGGGTTCAAATATATCTCAAGTTTATTTAGTTATTTCGAAAACTAATTATCAATGGCATAAAATTCAAGCTTTTTAATCACCAATCCAATGTTCAGACTGCATGCAAAGAAATAAAGGATTTGAAAAAAGTTGATGGGTAATTATAAAATATATTTCAAGCTCTAAAAAATCTCAGTTTTATGACGTTTGATAACAAATACATTTTGATCGATGCTTTTAAGAATGAAAGTCGTAGTGAAAGTTTCAGAGAAAAAGAAAAAAAAGTAAATACAGTTAACTGATTATCAATTTTGGTTTCACTTGAAAAGGGCTTTGCGGATTTATTCTTGAGAAACATAGAGTTATTAAAATTGAGCATTGTATAAGATAGAATATCGGCGATATCTCCCTTTGTGCTATTCTGATAAAGATTGAAATAGTATTGACATAAAACTCCATATGTGCAGGGCCTCGTCTAAAATCCATGTAAGAAAAGTAGGTGGCGCCGATTTACGTGAATTACCTGGGCTTCACTGCACACTCCTCCAACTTTGCCACCATTTAGAGAACAATCAGCGATATTCTGACATTGTCCAACCCTAAACAAATAGGTCGGTTTAAAAAAGGTCAAGATTAAGGTTGAGGTCAAAAAAGCAAATGAGAAAAAAGATAAATGATATTAAAACATTGAAGTTGATTACTTGCTACAAATTTTGCTTTCTTTCTAATCCTTTTATCTTTGTAACCTGCTAATCTGTGTCAGACTAAATAACAAGCGGTCAAAGCTTGAAATATAAAAGTTTTAAACCATCAAGGTGCAAAGATATAGATATTTAAAAATTTAAGTTTGTGGTAAATTATCTTCTTTAATACCTTGGTTCTTTATCTGCTGGATATGAAGAGGTACAGGGGGTGTCTAAACAAATAAATATAATAAAAACTTACATCTTAAAGGGACTGTAAGCATAATTTCAAGTGATCCTCCGCACACAGATGGAAATGCCTGACTCACGATGGTACCCTTGGAACCTTTATCTGATTAATAATGTGGAAGATATTGTTGTCTTTCTTGGTTTAAATGGGTTTGATTCTGGATAATCTTATACGTTGTCATGCAGTAGAAATGCGCAAGTCACTTTTGAAGAGAAACCACAATTGAAAATAATCAGTTTTCAAAATTATAAACATTATTCCCTATTTCACACTTGATCAGACAAAGCTTTTAAGGATACGCGTTGTGAATCGGGCATTGCCATCATTGTATGGAGGGTCACTAGACATTAAGCTTTCAGCCCCTTTAAAGGGAATATTAAGCTTTTTCCCTTTAAAGAGAATATTAAGCTTTTATTCCTTTATAGGGAATATTAAGCTTTCAGTCCCTTTAAAGAGAATATTAAGCTTGCATATTTTTAAAGGGAATATTAAGCTTTCAGTCCCTTTAAAGGGAATATTAAGCTTTCAGCCCCTTTAACGGGAATATTAAGCTTTCATCCCTTTAAAGGGAATATTAAGCTTTCAGTCCCTTTAAAGGGAATATTAAGCTTATATTCCATTTAAAGGGAATATTAAGCTTTTGAAACAATAAGGCATATATACGGTATATTTATATATTAAAATGGTAAAATAATTTGCTTTAACACAAAGAACATTGCATTGCATAATAAAAAAATACTTACCTAATATTCCTATAGAATTTAATATTCCAAAATACCCAAACTGTTTATGGTCTCGGGATGCCCCAAAATCTAAAAAGAATTATTAAGAACCTCTTAGAACTAATTTTAGTTGGAAAAACATCGGTCAAGGTGTTCATCAGTTATGATCGAACAAACAAACAAACAGCCATCGAAGCCTAGATTAATACTTGACATATATCCATATTGCTACCTACCCAATAAGCCCAGCAGTATAAGTATTGTAATCAGCATTCTAACTCAAACTAAACTATTTCACCGCCCAAGTTTCTCCTAAAAAGAAATGACCAGGGCTAACTTCAAAACAATAAAATTAAAAAAATTTATCAGCTAATTAAAATCACCGAAAAAAAAAGTTTTTATCTTATTTTGTATTTTTAGAGAGTATTAGACCCCCTGAATGATAACCTACCGTCTAAGGAGTTCAAGGTTAAGAAACTCGCGTAAAAAGTAAAAAAAAAATCCGTCTGGAAGAAATTTTACAACACAATTTTAAAAACTAAGTTTCCTTTTCCCAATCAATCAATCAATCATTAAATTGACGAAATCTTGATTTCCTCGTACAGTTAAGCTTGTTTAACCAAACTCTATATTGAGCCTAACTGGTTGGTTAACCTTGTGGTTCAACTGAACGGCCTAGACCTTTAAATACTATCTATCTATCTCCCTTTTCTTTCAACCTATATTTGTGGGATGATATTATATACGCCTCAAGATAAATAGAAAATGTTTTAAATTAAAGCAGACACGATTGGGGGATATAAACGTAGAAAGTTATCCTCGACTGCATTCAAATCAACGGTTTTAACTATTTAAGTACTTGATCAAGGGTTGAGGCGGGATTGCTTGAGCAAGAGATTCTAGACATTTTAAATATTTTTTCGTTTCCTGCAAAACCTTTGTTAAACTGGATCTAGAGTAAGGAAGACCGATTCACAACGGTACCCTTAAAATCTGATCAATATAGTGGTAGGTAACAATTAGTCTTGTCTGGCTTGAGAGGTGTTTAATTCGGATAATTCCATACCTTGCTTTCCTGCAACAGAAATGGGCAGGTCACTTTTTTAGAGAAACAGCAGTTGAAAATAATCAGATTTTTAAACTTATAAACATAGGAAGATAATTCATATTTGACAAGACAAATATTTTAAGTACTATTGTGAATCGAACATTCGACTCTATAAATGGAGGCTCACTCGAAATTACGTTTACAGACCCCTTAATCACAAAAAGGGTAAATCTTAACAACATTGTCGTAATTTTACACATACAAGACAAAAAAAAATGTAGTTTTATTTTTAAACATCGCGCCCTATGGCCTTTGAGACTTAATATGGAATATACTTATTTTTAGAATTTATTTTCAAACACAAAATACAAAATAATAATGTATGATGTTTCAGCTTAAAATAAAACACAAAAGAAAATTTATTATGAGCCAATTGAAAATAATGTTTGATATTTTTGTTTGATCGTTTTTGTTGAAACAAAGTATGCATATTGAAATCTCAACTAAATATACATTCATTGAAGTAGATAATTAGTCAGCACTCAAATAATCAAAACATTTTAAGGAATGTATTCATTGAACTTATAAATACATATTGATTCAGCAAAAGAAACATTGTATTCTCGTTGACTGTAGTAGACTTTGACATTCATCATTAGCAAAGGGTGTGAACCCACACTCGTTGACTGTAGTAGACTTTGACATCTACCATTAGCAAAGGGTGTGAACCCATACTCGTTGTCTGTAGTAGACTTTGACATCTACCATTAGCAAAGGGTGTGAACCCATAGTCATTGACTGTAGTAGACTTTGACATCCACCATTAGCAAAGGGTGTGAACCCATACTCGTTGACTGTAGTAGACTTTGGCATCTACCATTAGTATAGGGTGTGAACCCATACTCGTTGTCTGTAGTAGACTTTGACATCTTCCAATAGCAAAGGGTGTGAACCCATTCTTGTTGACAGTAAACAGGTTATATAAGGGTTACGGCCCTAGTCCCATGAATATATTCTGCAAGCATTTTGCATGCTTTCTCTCAAAAAGAGGAGGTGTTGACACCTCAACTGCTTTCTACTAACTAGGTTACGGTTATAGGTTCCTTGTTTACATAATCTTTGACGTTATCCAAAATCCAAAACTGCTCCTTTAAATAAGAAACTTGTCTTCCCAAATGTTATTATCACCAATTTTACCTGAAAAAATAAGAAAAAAATTTAAACTCAGGCAAACATATATATTTTTGGAGTTATCTTCTTTTTTTCTTTACGGCGCATCTGTAAAGCCACACTGTAATTCCGCTCGTCAAAAGTCAACATCTAAATATCGTGTAGGTACTGCATGGGAACTTCCTTATGGAAAAATAAATCATCCTGCGAAGAATTTTATAAATCAGAGATCCTGACAAAGAAGTTTACTTTTGACGTGTATAAATGCACTGGGATTTAATATCTTCAATTAAGATGTTTTGGATTTTATCTCTACTTTTCAATGTTCCATACATTACCCCAAGATCTCTAATCTCTTGGAAGTGTTGGCTATTATCTCTAATCTCTAGGACGTGTTGGCTATAATTTCTAATCTCTAGGGCGTGTTGGATATTGTCTCAAATTTCTAGGACGTGTTGGCTATTATCTCTAATCTCTTGGACGTGTTTGCTATGATCTCTAATCTCTAGGACGTGTTGGCTATAATTTCTAATCTCTAGGGCGTGTTGGATATTATCTCAAATTTCCAGGACGTGTTGGCTATTATCTGTAATCTCTAGGACGTGTTGGCTATTATCTCTACTCTCTAAGACGTGTTGGCTATTATCTCTAATCTCTAGGACGTGTTGGCCATTATCTCTAATCTCTTGGACGTGTTGGCTATTATCTCTAATCTCTAGGACGTGTTTGCTATAATTTCTAATTTCTAGGACGTGGTTGGCTATCCACTTTAATCTCAAGAATGTGTTGGCTATTATCTCTAATCTCTAGAACGTGTTGGCTACTATCTCTAATCTCTAGGACTGATTTGCTATTATCTGAACCAAATCTGTCCACTCTATTTCCTATATTTGTTGGATATTTTCTTTACTCTAAGCACTTATCTCCAAGATATATACTGAATATTGTCTTTACTAATCTGTTTTCTCTACTCTGCACTAAACCAAGATCTATTATCTCCAAGATATATACTGAATATTGTCTCTACTAATCTGTTTTCTCTACTCTGCACTAAACCAAGATCTATTATCTCCAAGATATATACTGAATATTGTCTCTACTAATCTGTTTAATCTACTCTGCACTAAACCAAGATCTATTATCTCTAAGATATATACTGAATATTGTCTTTACTGATCTGTTTTATCTACTCTGCACTAAACCAAGATCTATTATCTCCAAGATAAATGCTGAATATTGTCTTTAATAATCTGTTTTATCTACACTGTACTAAACCAAGATTTATTATCTCTACGGTTTGCTAAATGTTATCTCTACTCATCTGCTTAATCTACTCTAGTCAGAACCAAGATCATTTATCTCCAAGATATATGCTGAATATTGTCTCTACTAATCGGTTTTATCTGCACTGGACCAAGATCTTTTATCTCTAAAATATACTGAATATTATCTCTATTCATCTGTTTTATTTACTCTGAACCAAGATATATTACCTCTACTTATCTGTTTTATCTACTCTGCACCAAGATCTATTATCTCTACGGTTTGTTGAATATTATCTCTACTAATCTAAACCAAGATCTACTATCTCTTAAAATCTGCTTTATCTAATCAGATATATTCATAGTTAGAAATATCAAAGGTCTACAACATCAGAGTGTGAAACAGAAAAGTTTTGTATAATAAACCTTAGACTTTACTTGCTCGGCACTTTTACCACCC